CAAATGGTTCACAATAGTACGCAGCGCGGGTGATTCGAAATCCGGCTGCCTTCAGCGCTATAGTCAATGCAGGGTGACGTGACTACCTCGTTCTTGCGCGCTAAATGTAAACTGCTAGCTTGCTGATTGTGTAGTCTTATCTATTTTATCTATATTTTTTTCTGTACAGGTTGTCTAACGTTCATGGTGTACAACGTGTAGACCGTACAAGATGAATTTGATCCAGCTAGACGTACATTTTTTATTCCTACATTACCTGGCGTATATCATGTTGACGCAACCCGTCTCTATTGTGGTATGATGTACTTTCAACACACACCCTGTATTCATCAAACCAGGTCGCACGCTCTAGCGAGCGCGGGTTATTTGAAACGACAAGGCCACGTGAGTTGTCAAGCGCGCTCAATTCAAACTGGGCTGACGGGTACGGTCTGTCTATTTAGGGCAGCACGCTATACACATAGCTCTATTCATAACCCTTTACTTTTGTTTTCTTATGAATTCTTTTCTGCCTTATAAACACAAACCTTTCATCCCCCCCCCCCCCCCCCCCCCCCCCCCCCCACCCCCCCTTTCCCGACGCGCTGTTGATGCATGAGTCATCCTATCCGGTCACGTGACTTGGATCAGCCAATCAACTTCGCATCCGCCTGGATCAACCGGATCAACCAAAATGGCCTTCTGCGGACTGAGACTATACTACTGGGAATCGAACCCGGTCCCTCGGCGTGACGAGCGAACGCTTTAAACACATGGTTTCCTTAAACCCTCCCTTAAGTTGGTTGGTTTTGGTTTTTTACGCCGCACTCAGCAATATTCCAGCTATATGACGGCGGTGTGTAAATAATCGTGTCTGGACCAGGCAATCCAGTGATTAATATCATGAGCATCGATCCACGCAATTGGGATCGATGACATGCATCAACCAAGTCAGCGAGCCTGACCACCCGATTCCGTCAGTCGCCTCTTACGACAAGCAAAGTCGCCTAGCTAATTGATTTAATGATGATGCCTACATGACTTTCGAGATAATATATGTTCTACACACACATATATGTACGGAATACTAGTTCAATAAAACATAATGAGACTCGATCCATGTAATTGGGATATATGACATACAATCAACAAAATAAAACAATACTTATATAACTTCATTTGTTGAATATAATTAGTCATTTCGCACTATATCAGGAAATGTAACCTTCTAACACATGAGTATGTGAGTTGTTTAGTCAACAATGTCACGAAAGAACGGGGCAGCCAAACGTGTTCAGTATCAATCATGAAATTCGTCACAACGCATTATTTCAGAGGCATGTGTTGATTAACTACGGAAGTCTTTTAGGGCCATTGGTTTTGTTTTTCTTGAAATTTCAAGATGCTGTGTTGAAATTTCAAGTTACTTAGTTGAAATTTCAACTTCTGTATCATGAAATTTCAAATTAGAATCTTGAAATTTCAACTTAGAATCTTGAAATTTCAACTTAGAATCTTGAAATTTCAAAATATAATTTAATATCTTAAGATTTAAAGATAATAAGTGGAAATTTCAAGTTGAAATCTTAAAGTTTCAACTTATTATTTTGAAATTTGAAGATCATTATCAAGAAAAAATTAAATTAATTATGTTATAAATGTATTATTTAAATAATGTGATAAACATAACTTTTATATTTATAAAGAATAGAATTAGACATTTGAAACTTTGTCTGAAATGTAGTTGCAAAGATTATTTACAAGCTGATAATGTCTTCATAAACGTAGGCTTCATCCATCGCCAATGCTGGGGAACTTGGTGTGATAGCAGTAAAAGCTTCTGGTTGACTGGTTGTGGTTTGTAATTTATATTGCAAGAGTATGTCGCCCTGCTTCAGCTAAAATGCATGTCACCGTATCCCATTTGCGTGGATCGATGCTCATGATGTCAATCAGTGGATTGTCTGGTCCAGACTCGTCATATAGCTGGAATATTGCTGAGTGCGGCGTTAAACAACAACCAAACAAACAACTGCAATATTGTACAATGTTGCGTAAAACCAAATTCATTCACTCACTCTTATGCGGGGACAAACCCAATTCACACACTACTAGAATAGTTTCGTCTAAAAGTCTGTCAGATGTGTTATGGTCTGTTTCAGTAAATATTACGGTGGAATTCCTGTCCCTCGCTATATAACTGTCACAGAGCAATGACAAGTAGCTTCCTTTTTATGTTAAAGACATATCTTCAGGATCAATGCGAAAAGAACCACACATGGAATGCTGAATTTCGAAGTCTTTGAGGAATTCTCATGATTTTTCACGGTCTCCATTAACCAGACAGAAGTCTGAAGAATCATAAGAATTCCTCAAAGTTTCGAAATCCGCTGCAAAGCGGTTTGAAAATTGTTAAATAATGTCATAATTTAGTAGCATTCCTCTAGAGAAGAATGAAAAAAACAACAAAAAAAACAAATGTGTTAAGAGCATAAACCAGAATTATACGCTTTTGTTTTCAGTGATATTTGTGTACAATAGCGTACAAAGGAAAACAAGCCCGGGCCAGGCATATGTGTGCTTTATCACGGGAGAGGGGTGAGGTGGAGGTGTGGGGGGTGGGGGGTGGGGGTGAGGGGGGGGGGGGGGGGTGAGGAGGGAGAGCGGTGGGGAGCGGAAGTGGGCGCTGTTCAGAAATATATTAATGGGATAGTAAATGAAATAATACTACGTCATATCGAATAAATATTACTGATATTAAATCCCCCAAAGACTAAAGGGTGCTCTACTCGACAAACTTTGCCAATTTACAAACATAAATGTGTGTGTACATTGCGAAAACAGTTTTCAACCTAACTTTGTGAACGATTGTAGCTGTCGGTTTTAAACAGGGTCGGTCTCTACTCTCACCAATATTTTGACGTCATCCCGTGGCAAGGTAGTCAACCGACTATAAAAGTCCAGTTAGTGGAAGATGATATTTTGAGACTGTTAGCTGGACAATTTTAGTGTCGCATGCTATTCAGGTGATAAGACTTATGTTCAGTACTGTACATTTATAACAGTAAATGGTAGATGTGGTGCTCAATTAGATGTTGGTGATTTTACGTACGCAGGTCACAACGACACAGTGAGTGAGTATGGTTTACGCCGCTTTTAGCACTTTTTCAGCAGTATCACGGCGGGGGACACCAGAAATGAGCCTCACACATTGTACCTATGTAGGGAATCGAACCCGGGTCTTCGGCGTGACGAGCGAACGCTTTAACCACTAGGCTACCCGACCGCCCCTCACAACAATACAAGTGTCAATGATTATGTCATAAACAATTCAAGTGTCAATGATTATGTCATAAACAATACAAGTGTCAATGATTATGTCATAAACAATACAACTGCAAATGATTATGTCATAAACAATACAAGTGTCAATGATTTTGTCATAAACAATACAAGTGCAAATGATTATGTCATAAACAATACAAGTGTCAATGATTATGTCATAAACAGTACACGTGTCAATGATTATGACATAAACAATACAAGTGTCACTGATTATGTCATGAACAATACAAGTGTCAAGGATTATGTCATAAACAGTACAAGTGTCACTGATTATGTCATAAACAATACAAGTGTCACTGATTATGTCATAAACAATACAAGTGTCACTGATTATGTCATGAACAATACAAGTGTCACTGATTATGTCATGAACAATACAAGTGTCAATGATTATGTCATGAACAATACAAGTGTCAATGATTATGTCATAAACAATACAAGTGTCACTGATTATGTCATGAACAATACAAGTGTCAATGATTATGTCATAAACAATACAAGTTTCAATGATTATGTCATAAACAATACAAGTGTCAATGATTATGTCATAAACAATACAAGTGTCAATGATTATGTCATATGTTCACCACAACTCTTCGACCACTGTACTGATTTTACTGTTACTCCAAGCGTTGAATCGTCACACGTGTCTAGCACTGTTTGTCTACAATTAGCAGTCATGAACGTTTGGATAAGCACACGGATATTGTCAAGCATCCTCATACTGCAGTAGCAGTAACTTTAAACCAACACGGCTACGGCATACCAAAAGACTGTCTGCATGTATCTATTTATAAAAGCGTGCTGTGTGCCTTACTTTCCTAATGTCTGCACACATGTTATAACAGATAGCTGATAATTTACTGTTTGATTGGCATTCTAGGACTTGGCGAGTCAATAATAAAACATAAAACTTTGTTGATGGCAACTTCTGGTATATTGCATATAACGACGTTTTGATGTTGATTTGTAATAAAACGATCTAATAATCTCACCCAAACGTCGCTAAATGCAATAAATCAGTTGTTAGCCAAAAAGATGTATGTTTTCTTGATATGGGTTAAATTCCTAATGCCTCAATGTATCTATTATCAAAGCGTGCTATGTGTTGCCTTCCAAAGTCTGCACGTATCTATTATGAAAGGGGCGGTCGGGTAGCCTTGTGGTTAAAGCGTTGGCTTGTCACGCCGAAGACCCGGGTTCGATACCCTACATGGGTACAATGTGTGAAACCCATTTCTAAATCCCCGCCGTGATATTGCTGAAATAGTGCTAAAAGCGGCGTAAAACCATACTCACTCACTGTTATGAAAGGGGTGGTGGGGTAGCCTAGTGGTTAAAGAGTTAACTTGTCACGCCGAAGACCCGGGTTCGATTCCCCACATGGGTACAATATCGGGGGCAATGTTCCCCCGACGTAAAACCACACTCACTCACTGTGTTAATGTGCTCCATCCATGCATCAGTTTCACCTCAGAGCACTTTCAACCAAGCTGGACCTCATCTTACATAGAGCGTTGTCATGTGTTATGAAGGGACTGTTTATAGATTTTCTACTCTGCTCTAAACACTGTTGACATAATTATCCTGACTTTGCGACTAAATTATAATGTGTTACATCACCATGTATGCAAGTTCTTATACAGTTCATCATGTGACATAGTACGGGATACAATTTTATGGTACGAAAATATGACAAACACCGGCTGTATCGTTAATCAGTGACCCGATTTCACAACTGCCCGGCTGCAATGGCGCTCTAGATCTAACTGCTGAAAAGGGTGAGTATTGATGTGAACTTATGTTTTAGCAGTTTAGAAGTACCAGTAAGTCACTTATCATCACGCTCTGAACTAGACAGATGTTTCCTTGGCGACACTGCCGATCTTCCGCTTAGCGTGGTGGTGTGTGCACGCAGTGTGTCAAGGTGTATGGGGCCCTAGAAGGGTTTGGCCATAAAAGGCAACTACGCTTGTCGTAAGAGGCGACGAACGGGATCGGGTGGTCAGGCTCGCTGACTTAGTTGATGCATGTCATCGTCTCCCAGTTGCGTGATTCGATGCTCATGATGTCAATCACTGGATTGTCTGGTCCAGACTCGATTATTTACTGACCGCCGTCATAAAGCTGTTATATTGCTGATAGCGGCGTTAAACAAAAAATACACAAACAAACAAAGCATCCCCTGTGCATGTAAGCGATCTCTGTAGTTGTATTCCATCAGAACTTTCCACTTGAGTCTCGGCAGCAGGTTCCGGCACACTTTCCGTGGTCTTCCCTATCTCAGGTTTAACATTCCGACATAACTAATATTCTACCATGAATTTGACCAATCGGAATCGAAGTAATTTCCATTCAGGGGTATCAAATCCACATAACCACCTCTGACTGAAGCTACTTCTTTCTCAGTCACTGTCAGATGGAATTTTTAAATAATATGTTTCTTTGTTTGTTGTTTAACGCCGCACTCAGCAGTATTCCAGGTATATGACGACGGTCTGTAAAAGATCGAGTCTGGACCAGACAATCAAGTGATTGATATCTGCTGGGATCGATGACATGCATCAACCAAATCAGCGAGCCTAACCACCCGATCCCGTTAGTCGCCTTTTACGACAAGCAAAGTCACCTTTAACGGCAAGCATGGGTTGCTGTTCAAAGACCTATTCTACCCCGGATCTTCACGGGTCTTAAACAATATGTACAAATACAGGTTATAAATTCGGATGTACGGTTACTACACTATACAAAGTATGTGTGGCAATACAATTGGGTCAGAAAACACAATAGAAATTTACTAAGACAGTGCGGATATGGTTCCAACTACAATTTAGCGCGGTATTTATTTGTTTGTTTGTTGTTTAACGCCACAATCAGCAATATTAAAGCTATATGACGGCGGTCTGTATATAATCGAACCTGGACCAGACAATCCAGTGATTGGCATCATGAGCATCGATCCACGCAATTGGGATACGATGACATGCATCAACCCAGTCACCGAGCCTGACCACCCGATCCCGTTAGTCGCCTCTTATGACAAGTATATACGCCTTTAACGGCAAGCATAGGTTGCTGAAGACTTATTCCACCCCGGATCTTCACGGGTATTAGCGCGGTTAGACGTACAGGTAGCCTAGTTATACACAGTAAACACAGTATGTGTATTATGTTTTGCTGCTCAATAATCCTTTTACATGTATTGGCTACCTGATTTTTTATCAATATTTGGTTGATACGTATTTTATTCTGTGCTGTGTGACAGTACGATGTCACGTGACGGGAAGCGCGTGCTCTGTGTGGGCCTGGTATGTCTGGACATAGTGAAGATTGTGGCAGACTACCCCCAGGAAGATTCCGCCCAACGGTGAGTACACACCCCATCTCATCATCAGTGAGGGAGTGAGTATGGTTTTACGCCGCTTTTAGCAATATTCCAGCAACATCACGGCGGGGGACACCAGAAATGGGCTTCACACATTGTACCCATGTCGGGAATCGAACCCGGGTTTTCGGCGTGACGAGCGAACGCTTTAACCACTAGGCTACCCGACCGCCCCTTTCATAACAGTGAGTGAGTGAGTGAGTGGTGTTTTACGCCGCTTTTAGCAATATTCCAGCAACATCACGGCGGGGGACACCAGAAATGGGCTTCACACATTGTACCCATGTCGGGAATCGAACCCGGGTTTTCGGCGTGACGAGCGAACGCTTTAACCACTAGGCTACCCGACCGCCCCTCATCATCAGTCAGTGAACAGGATTGTACGGTGGCCCATAAGGGACATGGAGCCTGTTTTTCAATATTTTGACATTTCACTTACTGTTATCGTAACCTTTTGCAAATTAACACGATTTGTCATACAAACATATGAGAAATCATGTATAAAGAAGATATTGAATCGCTGAAAAGTGAAGCGAAAATGTCAAAAGCTAAAATGAAAATGTCAAAAACAAAAACGAAAATGTCAAAAACTAAAATGAAAATACAGAAAACCATTTCCACCGCGGTGATAATATTTACACAGCGGTGGAAATAGTTTTCTGTATTTTCATTTTAGTTTTTGACATTTTCGCGTTTGTTTTTGACCTTTTCGTTTTTGTTTTTGACATTTTCTTTTTAGTTTTTGACATTTTCGCTAAACATTTCAGCGATTCAATAGCTACTTGAAAGTACAACTACGGGGTCAGCCTTGACCACGTGGTGGTGTGTCCGGACATGTCCTGCCCGCTGTCCCGCTGTCAGTCGCTGTCAGTCGTCATCGTCAACACCCGCAACGGCTCCAGAACAATACTGCATACTAACAAGTCAGTCAAAATGCAAACAATACTGAATTTAGTATTCAGTCAGTCAAATCCCTACTACCTAGTGGGTATTCCCCACCATCCCGTCTTGTCCAGAAAAAGCCCCCACCATCCCGCGTTGTCCAGAATAACCCCCCACCATCCGGTCATGTCCAAAATAAGTCCTTAATGTCCCGTGTTGTCCAAAATACCACCATGTTGTAAGAGCCGACTAATTAAAAGAGGTGGTTTCAATGTTGAAATTATTGATTGCCTTCCTGGCCTTGGTCGATGTTCATACCAATATTAACTGACCCGTGAAGATGGGGTAGAATAGGTCTTCAGCAACCCATGCTTGCCGTAAAAGGCGACTATGCTTGTCGTAAGAGGCGACCGACGGGATCGGGTGGTCAGCCTCGCTCACTTGGTTGATGCATGTCATCATATCACAATTGGGTGGACTGATGCCCATGAGGTCATTCACTGGATTTTCTGGTCCAGGCACGATTATTTATAGACCGCCGTCATATAGCTGGAATATTGCTGAGTGTGGCGTTAAACAACAAACAAACAAACTAGTATTAACTTTTGTTCCTGGCTCAGATTAGTTACAGGCCAGAAATGGGCTTCACACATTGTACCCATGTCGGGAATCGAACCCGGGTTTTCGGCGTGACGAGCGAACGCTTTAACCACTAGGCTACCCGACCGCCCCTCATCATCAGTCAGTGAACAGGATTGTACGGTGGCCCATAAGGGACATGGAGCCTGTTTTTCAATATTTTGACATTTCACTTACTGTTATCGTAACCTTTTGCAAATTAACACGATTTGTCATACAAACATATGAGAAATCATGTATAAAGAAGATATTGAATCGCTGAAAAGTGAAGCGAAAATGTCAAAAGCTAAAATGAAAATGTCAAAAACAAAAACGAAAATGTCAAAAACTAAAATGAAAATACAGAAAACCATTTCCACCGCGGTGATAATATTTACACAGCGGTGGAAATAGTTTTCTGTATTTTCATTTTAGTTTTTGACATTTTCGCGTTTGTTTTTGACCTTTTCGTTTTTGTTTTTGACATTTTCTTTTTAGTTTTTGACATTTTCGCTAAACATTTCAGCGATTCAATAGCTACTTGAAAGTACATTTTCAATGTTTCGGTTGTTTTTATACATAATTTATCACATAATGGTATGACAAATTTTGTTAATTTGCAAAAGTAAGGATAAGAATTTATGGACGAACAACTTCTTTATTACAATTAAGAGCGACGTTTCGGTGTAGGTTCTATCACCGCTCTTAATTGTAATAAAGAAGTTGTTCGTCCATGAATTATTATCCTTACTTAGTACTCCAATTTCTAAATGCCTATCAAAGAAATTTGCAAAAGGTTACGATAAAAGTAAGTGAAATATCAAAATATTGAAAAACAGACACCAGGTCCCTTATGGGCCACCGTAGGATTGTTCCCGTCGTCGGCGATGTCATGGTAACAATCGGAAAGACCTGCAAGTGTAGTGTTTGAATTTGAATCGGTTGGGATTGAGTGAGTGAGTGAGTGAGTTTGATGTAACGCCGCTTTGAATATCACGGCGTGTTAGTTTGGTGTGGGAGGAAAACCCGAAGTGATGCAGGCCTCAACACGGGTATGAAACCCGCAAGCACGGATCGACAAACCTAGACATATAATCGAAGCGAATGTAGGATTCGAACCCGCGATCATAGGTTTCTGGTACGAAGGGGCGAATTCCGGCGCCTCAGACAACTGGGCCTTCGTACCATTTGGGATTGAAACTCTTCAGTCTTTCCTTGATCCAGTCAAATACCTTTGTGCCTCCCGTGTGCGACCATAGAATTTGCCAGGTCGTCGTTGGAAGCCCAAAGGAGGCAGAATGGTTGCCTAGGTCGTTCCAAGGTGGCACACGGGAGGTTGAGACGTCGCCATGGACTCCATGGTCGCCGTGAAGTTTTGAACATGTTCAAAACAGTCGCACAAAGGTCGCCGAGGAGGTTGGTTGCTCAAAGGTGGCACAAAGGTCGCAGCCCTGTGTAATGGGGCCTTTACGGAGGCTAAAGTATATTTATTTCTGTCACGTTTTTAATGGTAGAACATGTGCTGTTTTGGCTAAGTTTGTCAATAAACGCCAACAACTGAGAGGATGATATGGATCCTGCCGGGGTCCATGCAGGAAATAAAAGTACTAAGTACCCATGGTCCGTAGTATCGTGATATACCATCCGTAAAAGTTGACTCTGCTTATCAAAAGAGGCGACTAACGGGATCGGTTGATACTTGTCATCGTATCCAAGTTGCGTAGATCAATGCTCATGATGTCAATCACTGGATTGTCTGGTCCAGATTCTATTTATTTACAGACCGCCGTCATATAGCTGTAATATTGCTAAGTACGGCGTTAATCAACAAACAAAATTTTATTTGCTGGTAATATATTGCCCATTTGTAGTTTTTTTCGTAGATTGATAATGCACTCTTTTAAATGTTCTGAACTAGTCCTAAATCGAAGCTGTGATAATCTAGTTACTTTACTGTCCATCGAAGACAGGTTTTTATCCAGTCTAAACACACACACGTATAACTTCTGGTAACGATATGACTGAAATATTGTCGATGGTAACTCACTCATTCACTAACATGTAACTATGACCGTCTCAAACAATGCATATAAATTATTATATTTAATAGGATGTACAGTTTCATACGCGCGATGTCACAATTTTCTATTCTGTTATTGAAACCACGCTATACAATATAAGCGTTAACAGTAAAGTAAATAGGCGGAAACCAAAGCGTTACAAGAGCTGTGGGAAATATCACATGTTAATATTGTTTGTCACAGGTGTTTGGATTGCGCATGGCAACGTGGTGGCAACGCATCAAACACGTCATCAGTTCTGGCGTTACTAGGGCAACCAGTGGAATATTTCGGAACGGTAGCACAATCTCAAGAACTAAGGTAATGCTAGCGTTAAAATCAATGTGTTGAATAGATGCGTTTTTCAATTAAACGAAACGACAGCATTTACAGTACTAAACGAACTAGTTGTAATACTAGTAATCAAACTATTCAGCATTCAAGGAATAATGGTCACTTCTTTGAGACAAATATGTGACACAGAACTAATGGGGTAGACTTGCAAAAGTCTCAAAGGCAGAAATTCTTAATTTAAATCATAATTTCTAGATTATCCCTATAAAAGACTGGAGTCCTCCAATGCTGTACTGAAAGAAAAGTTCATGGATGTGTAGTAATTCTGTATACTACTACTACTACTACTACTACTACTACTGCTGCTGCTGCTGCTGCTGCTGCTGCTGCTGCACCAATGAATATAATATTATAAGGGAATGTGAACTACGACAATCCCAACTTTCCCGTGGGATCACATATTGTCCAGGGCCCTGTTCCACAAAGCGATCTTAGCGCTACGATTGTCATAAGCCCATGTTAAAATAAGAGATTTACGATCGTCTTAGCGCTAAGGTCGCTTTGTGGAACGGGAGCCATAGCATCAACCAAAGTGACCACCCGACCCTAGTTTAGTTCTTCAGTGCGTGCTGTGTATACTGGGGACTCTCGGCCGTGGAATCTTCCACAGTGTTGGCTGAAAAATATTACGTCTCCAGGCGAATATTTTGTTGCCAGGTTTCTCAGGGAGGATTTTGCCAGCTACGGGGTCAGCCTTGACCACGTGGTGGTGTGTCCGGACATGTCCTGCCCGCTGTCAGTCGTCATCGTCAACACCCGCAACGGCTCCAGAACAATACTGCATACTAACAAGTCAGTCAAAATGCAAACAATACTGAATTTAGTATTCAGTCAGTCAAATCCCTACTACCTAGTGGGTATTCCCCACCATCCCGTCTTGTCCAGAAAAAGCCCCCACCATCCCGCGTTGTCCAGAATAACCCCCCACCATCCGGTCATGTCCAAAATAAGTCCTTAATGTCCCGTGTTGTCCAAAATACCACCATGTTGTAAGAGCCGACTAATTAAAAGAGGTGGTTTCAATGTTGAAATTATTGATTGCCTTCCTGGCCTTGGTCGATGTTCATACCAATATTAACTGACCCGTGAAGATGGGGTAGAATAGGTCTTCAGCAACCCATGCTTGCCGTAAAAGGCGACTATGCTTGTCGTAAGAGGCGACCGACGGGATCGGGTGGTCAGCCTCGCTCACTTGGTTGATGCATGTCATCATATCACAATTGGGTGGACTGATGCCCATGAGGTCATTCACTGGATTTTCTGGTCCAGGCACGATTATTTATAGACCGCCGTCATATAGCTGGAATATTGCTGAGTGTGGCGTTAAACAACAAACAAACAAACTAGTATTAACTTTTGTTCCTGGCTCAGATTAGTTACAGGCCTCTGACCCCTACATTAGATACTTCACTACTGTCAGTCGTTCTACTGTTTGTAGTACGTGTTTCCCAAATTTTGAACGCGAATATTAATCTAGAATTATGTATATACAGAACTAATATGTGAAATCAGTTTTGTTTTGTTTGTTTGTTTGTTTTTTAACGCCGCACTCCAGCTATATGACGGCGGTCTGTAAATAATCGAGTTTGGACCAGACAATCCGATGACTGATATCATGAGCATCGATCCACCCAATTGGGATACGATGACATGCATCAACCAAGTCAACGGGCCTGATCACCCGATCCCGTTCGTCGCCTCTTACGTCAAGCATAGTGAAATTACTCAGTGAAATTCCTCCCACAGTTATCATTGCATACAAAGTTACAACACGGTACCCACTTCCACATAACAAAACCATTACTGTCGTATGAGTGACGTTGTATATTTGTATGGTTCACAAGGGGTCCAGTTTGGGTGGACGGCGTCATGCTTGATTGAGTTAAGCAAGCTGCCTGACGGGGGAAACGTGCTTGTGGGGTGATTGGAGTTTGAGTTGGCTTGGTAACTGATTGGTGTTGGCCGATCAACCTTTTGTTGTGTGCTGAAGTAGATAGCTTACTTGGAAATTTGTTTACTATATGAGGGCATGTTATCGAACAGAAAAGGAAGGAAAAAGAATTGGAGAGGGAGAAATATGGTATAACTGAACGAGGGCAGTTCAGCCCAGCGTTATGTCCGGAGACAAAGTTAGACGGTCATGTCGACGCTTCGAAGGAGGAAACTGTTGTTACCCAGTTATCCTGTGAACTGTGATATATAGGTTTGGAACTATGTGAGATTGAATACGTTGGGAATGTGATGTCAAGAAATCTGAGGTGACTATTATCTATACAGCACATTTGCCATATTGCTTTGCCTAAATAGATTTGTATATGAGTGCCTTGCCCAGTAACTGAGAATGGTTTTATATTTATCTTTGTTTTAATTATTAAATCTAGCTTTAAACTTCAGAGATTGTTGTGTGATTGTTGTAATAGTTATTTGTGGTATTAGCGGGAACCCCTGCCGTTCATACCACACGTAACAAATGGGGGCTCGTCGATTTATGAACCTATTTAAATCATAAGGGGTTAAATTCTAAGTGAGAAACATATTTCTGTTATTTACTTCCCTCCTATAATCATTATTCGAAAAGAAAAGTCTTGAAGATCACAACAATCTTTTTTTTTATGTGTCATACATGTATATCATGTCAGTAGCATCATGAGTTTTATACCTAGTGAGTTTATGCAATCAGTAACTCAAACCAAATTTAAAACCTTGTCAAAGGCAGAGCTTAAGCTAGTAGCCGAGTATCAGACATTAGAATAGATGAGACAGCTAAAAAAGATGTCATTCAGAAAGTATTGTGGGGAAAATTAGTCAGCAAAAACTTAGTTGAGGAGAAAGACACATTGGATGTATTTGAGAGTGAGAAAGTTGCTAAGATGCAATTTGACAGGGAAATAGAATTGCTGAAAGTAAAGAGAGAAATAGAGAGAGAAAAACAAGAATATGAACGTGGAAAACAAGAGTCTGAACGTGAGAGATATGAACTTGAAAGACAAGAAAAACAATGGGAGCATGAGCGCGAGATGGAAAAACTAAGCAGAGGGTGTGAATTAGGGAGGACTAGAAATAGAATTGTTGAACAGGAAGAGGACATTGCCCAATTTATTAGGTTTGTTCCTCGCTTTCGCGAAAGTGAAATAGACACTTATTTTGCTCATTTTGAAAAAAAACAGCAAAAAAATTAAAGTGGCCTAGACATTGTTGGACTTCTTTATTACAAAGTGCACTAGTGGGTAAGGCTGAGGAGGCCTATGCAGCATTATCTGTGGAGGAAAGTGCAGAGTATGAAGTTGTTAAAAAAAGCCATTTTAAGCGCTTACAAACTTGTTCCAGAGGCATATAGGCAAAAGTTCAGAAATTACACACAAAAAAATGAAAATCAAACCCATGTTGAGTTTGGTATGGTCAAGGAGATTCATTTTGACAGATGGTGTGCATCCGAGAACGTAGGTGGAAACTATGACAAACTGAAACAATTAATGTTGATTGAAGAGCTCAAAAGGTGTAGTTCAACTGATGTGAATGTGTTTTTGGATGAGCATGATGTAAAAACGTGGCGGGAAGCGGCTACGTTAGCAGATGGGTACACACTCACTCACAAAAGTGTATTTTCAAGAAATTTTCAGTCTAGAGATTATCATGGCGGAGGTCGTGGTCGTGGCAACAATTATTCAGATCGAAAATTTCAGTCCAGTTATCAAAGCCATGGGAGTGGTCGCTCATCCTATGGTCAGTCGTGTCAGGGTCAGTCCGATCACAAGTCTGTGAATAATGGTGGACAAAGTCGTGGTCAGTCATTCACGGGTTATTCCAATTGCAATTCTGATCGAGGTCAGCAATTTCAAGGTCAGCAGTTGCAAGGTCAGCGTAGAGAGTTATTTTGGAGATCGTGGTGGTAACCAAGGTTACAGTGGTAAATCTCACTTTGCTAGTAACTCAGGTAGTCTGGAAAATGGACATGGTAGCTATGCTAATGGTAGGAAAAATCAAACTCAGAGTGGGGGACCCCAAGGTCATGGTAGCGCCGCAGTGTTTAGTAAGACACCTAGTAGTTTACTCAGTCAGGACATACCTGTTGTTGAGTCCAAGGATGAAGTGAAAATGGATAGGTCTAAGGCAACTTACGATCCTTTCATGTCTAAAGGTGAGATCATGATAGGCAGTGGCGATCCAAAGGCAGTCACTATTCTCAGGGATACAGGTGCATTACAAACTCTCATACTGGAAGGTAAAGTTCCTCTATCAGAAGAAACTTATACAGGAACAAGTGTAATCATGCAAGGTATAGAATGTGGTGTTGTCCATGTTCCTCTTCATACTGTAGAGTTTGAGTCAGAACTTGTTTCGGGAACAGTTGTTAGATCACAACTTCCGGTGTCTGGTGTTGATGTTTTGTTAGGAAATGATCTAGCTGGAGGTGAGGTTAAACCTAAGGTTTCAGTAATCAGCGCTGACCCTGTTATGTGTGATGAACCTACGATTTCTGTGGATTCAGTTAGTGATGAAAGTTCAGACACAGCTCAGGTTTTGGATTAGGACATGGTAAAAAGCATTGATTTATACCCCGCATGTGCTGTTACTAGAGCTATGGCTAGGAATGAAGTTCAGTCAGAGAATGTAGAGTTGCCAGTTGAAGTTCAGTCAGAGGAAATAGATCTGCCAGTTGAAGAAGGCCATGTAGATTTGTCAGAAACTTTTAGGTGTGGATTGGATGATGTAGGAGCTAGGCAAGTTATGGATCCTGGTGTAGAATCACAAGATGGTGTTGAATTTAAAGGTGTGTGGTCTAGAGAGGAACTGATTCAGAAGCAAAAGGCTGATAGTGAGTTGGTAAAGTTTAGGCAAATGGCTTTGTCTGTGAAGGAGATAGAGAATATACCTGTGGGGTATTACTTGGATTTGGATATTTTGATGAGAAAGTGGAGACCGCCTGACGTTCCTGCAGATGAGTTTTGGCGTGTTCAACATCAAGTTGTAGTACCACAGTGTTATCGTGAGGAAATCCTCAGTCTAGCACATGATTCACCGTTAGCAGGTCACTTAGGTGTTAACAAAACTTACCAGAAGTTGTTGAACCATTTCTATTGGCCAGGTATACAAAATGATGTAAGGGAATACTGTAGAACTTGTCACACTTGCCAGTTGGTAGGTAAGCCAAATCAAACAATTCATAAGTACCCTTTAAAACCCATTCCAGCGTTCGGGGAACCATTCAGTAGGGTACTGATCGATTGTGTAGGGCCATTACCAAAGTCAAAATCAGGGAATAAGTTTTTGTTAACAATCATGTGTACATCTACCAGGTTCCCTGAGACCATTACATTGCGTAACATTAAGACAAAAACTATTTGTGAGACTTTAACCAAGTTTTTCACAGTATTTGGATTACCGAAGGAATTACAATCAGATCAGGGTTCGAATTTCATGACGAATCATTTTAAAAGTCTTATGTGTGAGTTAGGGGTCAGACAATTTAAATCCAGCCCATACCATCCAGAGTCTCAGGGAGCTTTGGAGAGATTCCATCAGACCTTAAAAACCATGCTAAGATGATACTGTATGGACCATGATAAGGACTGGGATAAGGGAGTTCCTTGTGTACTTTATGCATCCAGAGAAACTATGCAGGATTCGCTAGGGTTCAGTCCTTATGAGTTAGTGTTTGGAAGGCAGATGCGAGGTCCTTTGAAACTGCTAAAGGATAAATGGTTGAATGAAAGTTCAGAAACAAACATCTGGCAGTATGCGTCCGACTTCAAAGAACGATTGATTGCAAGCGAGTTAGCGAAGCAAACTTACAATCGAGCCAAGAAAAGATGAAAGAATGGTATGATAGAAAGGCAGTCCATCTTGAATTTTACCCTGGTGAAAAGTACTAGTATTGTTACCTCTGCAGGGAAAACCACTTCATGCCAAATATTCAGGACCATATACAGTATCAAAGAGAGTTAGTGACACTGATTATGTGATCAATACTCCAGGTAGACGTAGGTCTAGTAGGTATTGTCTTGTCAACATGATAAATAAATACCATGAAAGAGGACAGAATAGTGTACCTATGTGTGTGGGGAATGTCAGTGAAAGTCAAAATGAAGAACAATTTCACTTTGAAGGTGCTGATGCACCGGCAGTTAAATTAAACAATTCTGAAATTTTGAACAATTTGGACGAGAAACTATCCCATATGATCGGTAGTGAGAAACAGGAAATGAAAGGGTTGATTATGGAATTTGAAAATCTTTTTCCTGTCACACCATCTCGCACAAACTTGATTGAGCATGATATAGACGTGGGGGAAGCTCTTCCAGTTAAGCAACATGTTTATAGGTGTAATCCAATCAAACTAGAGCAGTTGAGAAAAGAGATAGATTACATGTTGACGAATAACATCATACAGCCTAGCAATAGTCCGTGCATCCTAGTGAGTGAGTGAGTGAAACTAGTAGTTAGCCATAAAAATATAACACCATACGTAACAATACAAGATAAAAACGAGCTATAGATCGCCAGCCACTGAAGAGAGATCACCATGCTAGGGTCCACGGGAACTTACAGTACTTTTTCTACCTGAATGGATCCCAGGCGGATTTACATAATCCCTTCAGCTGTTGGCGATGGTTGACAAATTTAGCAAACATTAAAATAACACATATGCTACGATTAAAAACGTGGTAGAAATAAATATACTTTGAAAGACGTAGTCTTACATACCCTCTCAGGGGGACAATAATTTTACACTACTTCAACCCCCTTCGAGGATATAGCCACTAACAATCTCAGTTACTGATTTATTTTACCAATTGTAAAAGTTAATTTGTTTATTTACAAAGCATAATGATCAAAATTTATTAAACAATTCGATTTCTTTTAAAAAACTAAGAATAAAATGAGAACTTACCCGGTCACGTGGTAGGTCAAGGTCAAGTAAAGCCAGTTCAAGCCAAAGTCGAGGCGATTGTGAATTTTCCAGAACCTAGAAACAGAAAACAACTAATGAGTTTTCTAGGAGTGGCGGGATATTACCGCAGGTTCTGTAGAAATTTTGCCCAAGTAGCATCGCCTTTGACAGGTTTGCTTCAGAAGAACATTTTTTTTCACTGGAAAGAACAACTTCTTTGAGTGGCATTTAGAAAGAACAAGAAGAAGAAGCGTTCAAGAAAGTCAAAGCCATATTAACGAACTCCCCAGTGCTGATAGCTCCTGATTACCAGAAACAATTTACCATTTATGTGGATGCGTGTGACCTTGGTGCGGGGGCAGTGCTACAACAAGAAGATGCCATGGGTATTGAACACCCTATATGTTACTTCAGTAGGAAGTTTAACAAACACCAAAAGAATTCCACCATCGAGAAAGAGACACTTGGACTAATACTGGTATTAGAACAATTCGCCATATATGTGTGCACAACAGTGTGGCCAGTGTTAGTATACACAGACCACAATCCACTTGTGTTTGTCAGCAGAATGAAAAACAAGAACCAGAGACTGGTGAGGTGGAACATTGCTGTAGAAACAAACAACCTGGAAATTATGTATATCAAGGGCAAGGATAATATCATCGCCGACGCACTTTCCAGAGGTTTCACAGTATGTGGAGTACTGAACAGTATATACTGAACCAAATTAAAAACTTCACAATCCTAAAATTTTAACATTTTGACCAGTTATCATTGTTGGCCCTTATTGTGTATTTAAACAGTAATGGCCACGTATTGTCTTCAGATAACACCCGTTTTTGTGCAGGTGAATCGACCAAAATCATGTGCACAGCACTATAGTGGCAAAAGTGTTTTTTCACGTTCAACTGGTCACGTGGCCATAATACCGCGCGTGTTTTCAGCCATACTTGTTAGCAGTCATTAACAAAAAAAAGAAAAACACAAGAAAACAAAAGTCTTTACGGCCATTTGTCATGCCACGCCTTTCAAATGTGCAACGTGAACGTGCCATCGGCATGTTGCAGACGGGAACGTCCGTAGCTGAAGTCGCAAGGACGATGGGTTGTAGTCGAAGGACTGTTTATGGTTTACAGACGCGTCTACAGCAAACGGGTACCACCGCTGATCGCCCTCCGCCAGGTCGACCACGTGTGACGTCACATGCAGAGGATCGTCAGATTGTCTTACGTCACCTCCGTAACCGATTTTTGACGGCTACATCAACCAGAAATGAACTGTTTAGGGGTAGACTGGGTGCGTAAACTGTTCGAAACCGTCTGAGAACTGCTCACCTTCAAGCACGACGGCCATACTGCGGGCCGATTCTGACTCAATTACACAGACGTCAACGTCAATTGTGGGCACAGCGACACTTACGACCCGGTTTGATCTTCCAACACAACAATACCAGACCCCACACAGCAATTGTGACAAGGAATTTCCTTCAGGTGAGGGGAGGTGAAATTGAGTTTAACGTCGCGTCCAAGAATATTGCACTTATATAGCGACGTGCATTCACGTGTGTGTGTGTGTGTGGCTGCTTGTACTAGTCCGGACTGATGCCGATTTATAGTGCTAGCCAACTGAGATACCATGCCGCAGTTCAACATGAATACCCCACTCAGACACAGTATACTGACTCCGAGCCGACCAGTCCTTGTTTTAGCCCCTTAATGCCGAGCGCCAGACAGGGTAACAACAAGTACCATCTTTTAACGTCTTTTGGTATGACGCGGCTGGGGATCGAACCCCGGACTTTCCGCTCTCCGGGCGGACGCTCTTCCACTAGACCACGGAGGCGGTCGAATTTCCTTCAGAATGCGGGAGTCAACGTCATGAACTTGCTGTCAAGGTCTCCCGACCTCAATCCCATCGAACACGTCTGGGATGCTCTTGGCAGAAGTCTGCGCACTCTCCAGAACCAACCACAAAATTTGCAAGATCTTGGCACCATTTGGCAGCAACAATGGCGTCGTCTTCCAAATCATGTGTTCACAAGCATCACAAGGTCCATCTTTCTTTGGACATTAATGATTAAAAATTACCTTCTCTGATACATTTGTCCGTTGTATATCATATATGGGATTACTTTTAAAAATGTGAAGTTTTTTATTTGACTCAGTATATGTGTGAAAATGAACAATGACAATGAGTATGTGAACAAAAACATGGTGTTGAATCAAGAATTGTTTGCGTTTGTACAGGAGGGAAACAAACCCTACGATTGAATATGTTGACATAGATTATGTGTTTGGTAATATGTGTGTATATATCTTGTACTTTTGTATGAATTTGGTAAAATATGTATTACTGTATTTTAGAAGTTTTCCATATCATTGTGAAGCTCTGTAAAACATTCTTTTTTAAGGGGTAGAGTGTTATGAGTGACGTTGTATATGTGTATGGTTCACAAGGGGTCCAGTTTGGGTGGACGGCGTCATGCTTGATTGAGTTAAGCAAGCTGCCTGACGGGGAGAAGCGTGCTTGTGGGGTGATTGGAGTTTTAGTTGCCTTGGTAACTGATTGGTGTGGGCCGATCAACCTTTTGTTGTGTGCTTAAGTAGATAGCTTACTTAGAAATTGTTTTACTCTATGAGGGCAAGTTGTTACCCAGTTATCCTGTGAACTGTGATATATAAGTTTGGAACTATGTGAGATTGAATACGTTAGGAATGTGATGTCAAGAAATCTGAGGTGACTATTATCTATATTGCACATTTGCCATATTGCTTTGCCTAAATAGATTTGTATATGAGTGCCTTGCCCAGTAACTGAGAATTGTTTTATATTTATCTTTGTTTTAATTATTAAATCTAGCTTTAAACTTCAGAGATTGTTGTGTGATTGTTGTAATAGTTATTTGTGGTATTAGCGGGAAACCCTGCCGTTCATCCCACACGCAGCACTGTGAATGTTTCAATTGATTGTGTTTTTCCAGTAATCTGAGGGAAGCCAATGCTGACGACTTTATGAAAATAGATCTTTCCACGAACAAGTACAAATGGATACATTTTGAGGTTTGTGCTATCATCTTGTTGTAAACATTGTGCGTACTTCAGCAGTTTAACCGACATGTTATTCTCAAGGTCACAAGATAGATCCATGTGGTGAATAGAGTCCGGACCTTTGGCTTAAGGAACGCTTTAGTTTAACCACTAGATTGCCCCACCTCCACCCACAAAATGAAGTTAGCTGCAAGACGTTTTGATCCGTGAAGATCCGGGGTAGAATAGGTCTTCAGCAACGCATGCTTGTCGTAAGAGGCGACTAACCGGATCACGTGGTCAGGCTGACCGACTTTGTTGATGCATGCCACCGTATCCCAATTTCGATCGATGCTCATGATGTCAATCTTTGGATTGTCTGGTCCAGAATCGATTATTTACAGACCGCCGTCATGCAGCTGTAATATTGCTGAGTGCGGCGTTAAACAACAAACAAACAAGACGTTTGAACATTGTGTTTGATGTTGCAGTGTCGTCCCAATGTACAGGAGACCGCCCGGATGTTGCACCACGTACAGAATCACAATAAGACAGCAGGGTTACACCACATTCTTACCTCCGTCGAATTTGAAAAGCCAAGTCGAAAAGGGTGTGGTGAGTTTACTAAAAAATTAAGTATTCAGTCAGGTTCGCAATCTGCCCGAAACATTGTTTCAGAGGCCTCACGAATGACAACTGGCTGACCTGTTGTGTTGCAGGCCGCCTCCGTGGTCTAGTGGTAGAGCGTCCGCCCGGAGAGCGGAAGGTTCGGGGTTCGATCCCCGGCCGCGTCATACCAAAAGACGTAAAAGATGGTACTAGTTGTGAGCCTGTCTGGCGCTCGGCATTAAGGGGCTAAAACTCGGAGCATGTATACTGTGTCTGAGTGGGGTATTCATGTTAAACTGCGGCATGGTATCTCAGTGTGCTAGCCCTATAAATCGGCATCAGTCCGGACTAACACACACACACACACACACACACACACACACACGTGCATGCACGTCGCTCTATAAGTGCAATAATCTTGGACACGACGTTAAACCCAATTTCACCTCACCTGTTGTGTTGCAGAACAGCTCTTCGCACTGCCGGACTACCTATTTCTGAGTAAGGAGTTTGCTCAGGACCTTGGTTATGACAACATGGAAGATGCGGTTGTGGGTTTATCCAACAAGACTAAACCTGGGTAAGTTAACATATGATTACTCTGCAATCCTGCGCGGCACTGAAGATCCAGGTTAGAATTGGTCCTCAGCGACCCTTGCTTGTCGTAAGAGGCAACTAACGGGATCGCGTGGCCCATCTTCCCGAGGCAAGGGACTTAACTGACTATCACAAATCCTGTTTCCAACCTTGCTGAACTAGGCTGGAATGTCTGGGCTCTGTCATAGCACCACCAGCGACCTAGTACGAGTTATGTCCCTTCTATGTCGTTGACCCAGGCTCACCACAGCGATAGTACGCTCCCGGAGCTCTCTATACTATCGCTGCCACCAGTCAAATCTCCCCACTGTGAATAGGTGGCCACAACCATGCTTGGAGTTGAACTCGCAACCGAATGACCGTTATGTTTACAAACAAGTGACGACTGTCGTGACGCCGAATACACTTATCGCTGCTAAATTACTTTCTTCGTTTGTCAATTTGAATTTCATTAAAACTATCGTGTTAATGATATAGTAAGAATGAAAGGGAGAAGTTTGTTGATTTTCCGTTAGTCTGCAATCCCGAACCAATCTGATTATCAAAACAACAATGAAATTCATCTGGAAAACATGGTCAGTCGTAAACCTTTTCAAATTGAAATATGATGGCCTTCCCAAAGACATTAACAAAAGTATAAACGTTAATACATATGGGGTTGGAGGGCAAATTTCAAGATTCTTGTAATGGCCGCGCCCACACTGGTGGCAGCGATGTTACCGAGAGTGTAACGTAGGTGTCACGCGCTGGGAAGGAGCTTGTCGTTGACCAATCAGATTCCACTTCTCATATCAATTGCATTCACTTCAAACAAAATGGCGGCGCCCAGTTAAGACGATCTTATCGATAATCAAAATCTATATTGTAATAAAACTCGTATTATAAAATCACCCGAACACCTTGATTAATAACATGACAGGATTGTGAAAAATATCTGTTGACGCCGAGTTGGCGGTAAATACGATTTGCAAATCATGCAATCGACTGATATCTTCTGAACGGCACAATTAATTCCATCTTCCAGCCTTGTTTGGCAAGGGCGGAAACTGGACCTTTATGGTTAGTTAACTCCCTTGCCTCGGGAAGATGACTAGAATTGGGAAGTCTCTTATTAACGTCTTTTGACACCCGAGCTAGGGGTGGAACGACACAGCAAAGTCACGATACGTAGGTCACGATACGATACTTATCGCGATACGGATATTTATCATCCAAAACTGGCTCCCACAGGAGATATCGCTTGGATGAGATCAAGCGATATCTACACTGTAGATATCGATATCTACACTGTAGATATCGCTGCAATGAAATTACATCACAATGCTTTGCAGACCATTGTGACGTCACTGTTACCATGACGTCACAATCAAATGACATCACTAATAGCTCTGCTACTGAAGCTGTTAGCAGTACCTTTTACACTGAAGACACTGCTAATTACTGTCTACAAATTGAAAAAGTTGGAAGAATGATGTTGGATGATAAATAAAATCTCACCCTCGTGTCTTTTGACATCAAATATATCAACACTCGTTGATAAAAGTGGCAAAAATCTTCGGCAAGCCTCGGAATCTTTCCACTTTTATCAACTCGTGTTGATATATTTGATATCAAAAGACACTCGGGTCAGATTCTCTATTTATATCAAATCGCATGAAAACGTCTTGACTATAACTAATTTTGAGCAGGTTCAAAAGGACAAGCAAGTTGAACACACATATTCATAGTGGCTATCTTTAGTAGTGAACTTGAACATTTAGTAACGTTTGACTGACCAAAACGCTGGGGGTGGGGTCGGGGGTCATTAAGCGAGTGACCGTAGTTAAATTGTAATGTATTTTGGCAAGTGTATGGTCTCGTATAGATTTCAAATAAAAACGTATCGTAAATATCGAATCGTCGCACCAGTGGACCGATGTATCGTTTCTACCCTAATCCGGGCATATAACATGTTTAGAATATGTCCGCAACACTCAACTGCTTGTCATAAGAGGCGACTAAATTAGGTCGGCGGTCTGGCTCGTACGTTAACTCGCTGATTGCCTCACATCGGACGATCAAACGGTGCTCATCCTTTGAGTCCCCAGTTTGTCAGGCCCAGATTATCAACGGGACGAAAAGATATAGGACCTGGCTGGGATTGTTGGTCGTCGCGTAAAACAGTAAACTGAAAAAAACATTCGTGACCAACTCGTGTTATTCCGGGACAAGCCGAATAGCGACTCGTGCCCCTCTCGTGACCATTTTTGCGACCGGGTTCCGTCTTAGCGCAAACGGGCATTCCGAAAACAATTGTCAACTGAGTAATGGTTCACAAAAATTTCCCCATATTTTATATATATTTCAGATGCAATTTAAAGCACATCGGGACATGCGTAATTATACAGTATGATTGAACACATTTAACTGTGTCTTGGGTATATTTTTAGATGCAAGACATGTAAAATCAAAAATTATTGCTGAGGGATTCTTTGACGAAGAACTTGAAATCATACGCGCATTCTGATCGGTTTGTCGTATTTTCGCACATAACATTCATCGATAGGGGGACGAGTCTTCTTGCAGGTTACGGGAAGGGGCCAGTGGTGACGAATGTGGAAAATACGTCAAGTTCTACAATTCTTCGGTATTGTGCTGATGATCCTTCATGGTCATTTCAGAGCCACCGTCATCTGTGCCTGGGGCGACAAGGGTGCTGCTGCGAAGTCGTCAGACTCTGACGTAGTTATCTCCCCTGCGGTAAAACTTGAACAGGTCGTTGACACCTTGGCAGCTGGTGACACGTTCATTGCCGGATCTATATTTGCCTTATCTGGCGGAGGGGTATCTACAGCAGAGGCCATTGGTCATGGTTGTAAAGTGGCCGGGATGAAGTGCGGGATGCGAGGACTAAAGGGACTAGCATCTCTGAAATCATAAATGTTTGGATGCCCCAGTTGGAGGTTCTGCTTGTATGTGTGTAAGATTTGTGGCTCTGATTTTGATGGATAATGAGAAGAGATACGTATGATTGAAAGTACTAGTCTGGTCTAATGATGTCAAAATAGTACTCAAGACGTTAAATAATTATGTGACAGAAATGAATCTGTTAATTGCAATTTGCATTCGGTCTATTTTTAGTAATCCAAGGAATGAAACCGTTTATGATGAGGTGGGATGAGGCGGAAGCTATTAACACACAGCGCCTCACAGGCAACTGGGAAAGGGAGCTGAGAATGAAAATCAAGTGAACAACAATAATAATAGTAATAATAATAATAATAATATTGTATCGCCGTGAGCGCTCACTTGGTTAATGGAATTTGGCGCATTATAAATGGACTTACTTAATCTAGATATTATATAAATATATGCTACACGAAAAAAAGTTAAAGAACACCCGATTTTAACGTTTACAAATCAAAGGAATGAAAATAATACAAGTTCGCGCTCCGGGTTTCTCCCAAACCTATTTACACCAAAACGGCCTGGAGAAGGGGTTGTGTGAGTGAAGATGCTTACCAATCAGAAGGAAGACCGTTCCTGCCCTTCCACAGACCAGACTTCACTTCGAGGACCTACATATTGTCTGTCCCGAGTTAATGAAAGGTGGAACTAATCCGCAATTCTCAGTTTCGATACCCGTGAAGATCCGGGGTAGAACAGGTCTTCAAGAACCGATGCTTGCCGTAAAAGGCCACTATGCTTGTCGTAAGAGGCGTCTAACGGGATCGGGTGGTCGGGCTCGCTGACTTGGTTGATGCATGTCATCGTATCCCATTTGCGTCGATCTATGCTTAGGATGTCATGATTGGATTGTCTGGTCCGGACTCGATTATTACAGACCGCCGTCATATAGCAGTTATATTGCGGCGTTAAACAACAAGCAAAACCTTAAACGTGGGAGGCTCAAGTGACGCAGGTCTGCCAGTATCTCGGAGTCCACATCTGAGGCTCCAGGGACCCGTTCTACAAACACGTCTTTGTGCTAAGATGATCGTAACTATAGGGTTTACGACAGTCGAAGCGCTACGATCGCTTTGTGAAACCGGGCCCAAGGTCAGAAAGTGATCTTATTTCATGAGCATGTATTAATGTGTGGGAGTTACCATCATCTTAGTGCTAAGATCGCTTTGTGGAACGGTTCCAGAGACACTCGAAAGCTTTCAAACACTCGATAATGGCTTTCAAGTAAGGATCCGCCCAATTAATCATAGCATTGTTATTCTGTTTGGAAAAGGGTTCTCAAAATGTTTGTTTCCATATTTTTCGCTCCCCTGACTGGCCACTTTCTTTGGCGTCCGGCAGCCATATTGAAAAAAACACAACATAATTGTGACTTACTCGTGTTATTCCGGGAAAAGCCGAATAGTGCCTCGTGCCCCTCTCGTGGCCATTTTTGCGACTGGGTACTCTTTGCGTAATGAGTCACGTATATTTCCCAATATATTAAATAATTGTGGATGCAATTTAAAGCACATCGGAAAATGCTGTGTTATACGGTATGATTGAACATATATAACTGTATCTTGGGTATATGTTTAGATGCAAGACATTTGTTAAATCAAAAAATATTCCTGTTTGATTCTTTGACCGAAGAACTTTACGTCTTACGCTCATTCTGATTGGTTTGTCGTATTTTCGCACATAACATTCATCGATAAGGGGGACGAGTCTCCTTGCCGATTACGGAAAGGGTGAGTCGTGACGAATAAACCCAACAATACTTGCCATTTTTGTTCCAAATGGAATGATATTTGGTACTTGTTTAGTTAGATATATCCACTTATTTTACTGTGAACTTCTTTGATATTGCCAGACTGAGGGAGCTGAACTCTGGCGTGCATGTCTGTACATCCACAGGACCATGTAACTAATTATAACAATACCGCAAATGATTTTTTTGCAACTTTTTTATTTTTATAATCAGTTACATGGTCCTGTGGTAGATCACACGAGCTTAGATTTATGCAAAAAATATTTGCATATCAACCTTGACGGCCACATTTGTAAAAATTGTTCCAGGTTGTTTTTCCTGATATCATATGATGTGAGCTAAAGTGCCGTGGCAGTTTTTTCAATGATCAAAGCAATAAGGAGTCATGATATTTTCAAATCGTTTTATTTTCCTTAGTATACATGACACACAGTTATCAGTAGCATATGAAGACTAAATATTGGCAAAAAAACAATATTAAATTGTCTATTTCACTGAGTATGTCCACACAATATATACAAAAATATGTTTATCACAGAATTTCTGGTACAAAGTACCAATGGCAAAACACAGAAAATAAAACAAACATTAAGAGACAACATATTACAAATGCAATACTCCAATAACCCCAAACCATCAATTAATCAAAGTTATGTTTGCAGTTATCTGACCTCCACTCCAAGATACGGTCTGTTGATTTTTCATCATCATCAATAGTCATAAGTGTTTCTGCACCATATGTTCCTCCGTTACCCATGACTACATACGACCACTACATAGTGTATAAATCAGGAAAGTCCAATTGGCCCAGCTGTGTTAACTTTGTGCAAACCCACCCTTGCCTCATTCATATGGAAGCACTGTGTAGTGTCCACTGCCAAAGGCAATGTTACCGTTTGTACGATGTAATCTGAGCACTCATTGGTCAGATCAACTCTTGGCTTGCCTCTCACTCAAACCACCCCGTGATCTGATTCGTTGGTTTTAAATAACTGCAAAGTGGCCGTATTTATTCAAGGGTGGCGGAGGAATGTGATTTATTGATGATTACTTGACCAATAGAATGCAATGCCTCTAAAAATTGAAAACCAGAAAACACATAGCAGAAAATGCACCGATTCCTTGTCATGCATCACGGTCGAACAAACAATATAAGCTGTTCAAGAAAACAAAACTGCACTTATATTTTGTGAGTATTGCACACAGAAAAGAAAATCGGACAAGACATGAAATTACCCTGTTTGGGGCAGACATTATTATTCATTAGCATCACCTATAGATTAAATGACACACCAGCACTAATAAGGATATTAAAACATTTTGCTATTCTGTATTCGGTGGTAAAGGTAAACTACCCAGTATCAAGATGTAAATGACTTAGATTACTTAAGTTCAATTGTAATTCTGACTTCTTTCAGCAGTACAAATGGACGGCTACAAACCTTTGAGCTAAATGATTTTGACATGTCTTTGATATGGACATAAATAAATCTCTAAACATGTTTTTTAAAGCATGTTCTTGTGCTCTGTATAATACCATTTTCTATCAACATTCAACACATACTTTCACTGTCAGGTAACATGTATTTTTCTTCAATAATATCTTTGATATTGTCATAATTCACTCATAATTGCCTTCATGACAAAATAGCACATTGATGTTGCTTACTAATAAAAAATGAACGACAATGCTCTTGATTGATATTGGAATCAAATATTGTTACATTCTAAACTAGAAACAAATCCATAAACACAATTGAAACTCGTATTTAGGTATAAAAATGTATGTCATACATAAAACGGGAATATAAATCAATAGCTATCAATGATCGTTTCCATACATGAAATTACACATTAAGTACATGGTATCAATATTTACAAGAACCTTGTAAAACCATGCAACTTATATTACAATTCATATGGGACTTATCGAGTAAAAATAACAAATATTTTCTATAGATCTGTATGTTTAACCATTTTATATTATTCAAATGACAAATGAATTTACGACTAGTTGACACTTTTTGTAATGTTTTCTGTTAAGTGCACAAGCAACTAATGCTGAATCAGCATTTTCTTTGACTACATTTATGCAAAACTAAAGTGAAAATATATCACAGAATACACAAATGACTTTACGAAAACTGATAAAGCTGTCTTCCCAACGTAATGCTTGCACATGGAAAATATAAAAAATGGACAACATATGTGATGATGGATTAACATACATTTCTCCACATGCTTACAGTGACTGCAGGCACAACCTGTGTTTGAGATTCTTTGGCTACTCCAGAACGGGAAAATTTCATAAACAAAACAAATACATATAAAGGACAGAATTGCAGTTGGACTCATGCTAATGGGGCAGCAAGACTTGCTGTACATTTAGATTTGGATCCATAAAACAAGAGGAGCGGTCAGGTAGCCTAGTGGTTAAAGCCTTCGCTCGTCACACCAAAAACCTGGGTTCGATTCCCGACATGTGTACAATGTGTGAAGCCCATTTCTGGTGTCCCCTACCGTGATATTGCTAAAAGCAGCGTAAAAACCATACTCACTCACAAAACAGGATTGAGTTTCTAAAACATGTCAAAACAACACTATATTTTTATTTTAGTGACATATACACACTCAGTTCTCAAATGTAGAAAGGTACGTCATACAACAGTATATAAAATGTAATCAGCTGATATTCCCATTTCTATTATTCCAGGAAAGGTAATTTTGTGAATGAGTGAGTTTGGTTCATCACAGATTTGGACAGTATATCAGTTCTATCACTGCATGTCATGCGAGAGGAAAGTAGATGGGTTGAACACGTGTTTCATATTTGTGAAATCCATGAGCATCTTCCCGAGGCAAGGGAGTTGACTGACTGTAAAAGTCCAGTTTCAACCTTTGCCGACCTACGGTGGAATTTCTGTCCTCGATCTGTGCCATCAGTGGCTATAACAACTTATGTCCCTTCTATTGACCAATCAGATTCCACATCTTACTTGCATTTCCTTCTAACAAAATGGTGGGCCCCAATCAAGACGATCTGATCAATACTGTAATAAAATCATGTAATATATCAATATTGTCTTACTTCGCAAAGTGCATCAAATCACGTGGGCACCTCGATTAAAAACATGAAAAGATTTGGAAAATATCTGTTAACACCGAGTTGGTGATCCACATGCTTTGCCAATCCTGCAATTAACCGATATCTGCATGGCAGTTTATGGACCAGATGTCTCGTTCGTTACATGGTTATGATTGGACTATGCATAAACTCGTTAGTCCAGCTAGAATATAACTCCTTAATTCCAACCTAATTCGGCAAGGGTGGAAACTGGACTTTTATAGCCAGTTAATTCCCTTGACTCAGGAAGATGGGATAGATTCTGACAGACCAAGGGTATTAATCTGGGATTTGAACCCAGGATCAGTGAATCCTCTCCAGGCCAACTTTGTTCTAGGACGTTTCCACACCAAGATCGAAGAATAAGAAGAAATGCATAGTGTGAGATAGGATAAGTTTAAAAACATGGCTGTTTCTGACCAGATGGGCATCCACACTCCTAAGGACTAAAATTTCTGAATCAATGTGGTAAATACAGCCAAATCATCTCAGAAGCTGACATACGATTGGCTCTAGCACCCATGCATCTTTCAGTAAAACTGGTTTTCTCAGGGTTTACTCAGATCTTATTTTAATTAAATAGTCTTCAGCCAATATGACTCCAGAATCATAGGCTAGTGCACAAAAACTAAAGATAATATGGACAGCATCTTCTCGAGGCAAGAGCATCCACTAGCCTATTTATCAAAGTCTTGTTTCCTGTGCTAAATATGATTGGACTATGGCACATGTCGATAGTCAAATCAGAGAACGTTTCATAGAATCAATATCCAGGTTCCCAAAACATGGCCACTGCCATATAGCTTGTCGAATTTGCACTGAAGTTGTTTCAACAAATAAGCAAAGAAAAGTATTTTCTAATTCTTTCCAAGGTTTAAATCAATTTGCCCAAGTACTGTGCTTTTAAGTCATTAGACACAACACCGATGCCTGTCCTTGGTGACACACATATTTCTTTCCCATCTTTGAAACCCCTCAACAATTGCCTGTGTTTGTCAGGGATGAAATCGCGAATGTTTTCGTTATCTGATCGACTGTGTCATCTTCTATGGTAGTCTCCATCTTTGTGAAGCCATGCGAGATAAGAGCAGCAATCTGATTGGGTATCGCCTTTTCAATACAAGTGGCACAACTCGTGATCAAGGGGCACCACAATCGAGCCAATAGAAGTGGGATTGATGTGGCAAGGGTGGAAACTAGGCTTAGATATAGACAAGCCTCAGGAAGATGGGACTGCAGCACCTGATGTGCTTCAGGCAAACACAAGACTGCATTCCACTCAAGATATCTAAACCAACCCAAGAAGATGACGATGATATCTGTGTAGAGTGAGACTGATTAGCACAGTATACAATAAGCTCATTGACTCACTAAAACCATACACACAGTAAACAAATACTCGTGTCAAAGCAATAACATAGGTTTCCACATAGCTGAAATATCACATGGTGGGATGGGATAGTCTATGGTAAATTGACCAAAATGTGACAAAGTAGAAAACACTTCAAAGAAGTCTAAAGAATAATCTAAAACCATTAGTAACTGACTGAGATGAGCAGGCTGATGTTTGATTGCGTAAAGTTCATACATTCGATGTTTCCTTGATATAAAACCAAGAATGCCAAACTCCTGGCCAATATGTCATTGTAAAGCATTATGAAACGTGATAATTTTGCCTTCAAAAATAAAAACAATAACCATGACAACAAACAATAAAAAACATACCTCAAATGTTGATTGAAAGTATCCATATTGAGTTTCCACTTTTTGTAGTCTATCCACATCAACATAACATTGACCTATATATGTGTGACCTTCATAGTGGCTTACACTGATATACCTGTTGGATGTAAAGCTACCATATACATGAGCATCACAAAGATCTGTAAAACTGAGTCCGAGACACTAGCATACTTATACCATCTAAGCAATAGTTTCCTGGAGGTGGGATAACAGTATTGAAGTGTTCCAGTACTTGCATGAGTGAGTGTGTGGGTAGGGTTTAGCACAGCAACATACGCTTTAACAGAGCAAGGATTGACTGTCATCAATCCACACAACCACAGTTTAATAGATGGCACACTAAATCAGTTTCTCTGAGGTCGCCATCAAAGAATGATCCCTACTTGATTCTTGAGGGAAAACGTTTCTTGTTCTTACAGTCTAAGGAAAAGGTATTCTTACAGGCGATCTGAGTCAGTATCATCCCAGGGAATCATAAGCACGTGCTTCACAATAGTGCACATTTTTTGTACTTACGAGTAAAAACAGTACAGGTGCTGCATCTCCACAGCAAAATACATGATCAATTTGTTTTCACATAGAACATCATTGTCAATAGGCAAGTAAATGATACCTAGATTGATTTGCAAACCTCACCCAGTGAGTGGAGACATGAAATGACGATGTAAAACTGTACCAAAGTGATATATTAACATCGTGGTTATGTTTTCAAATATATCAGACAGTATTCCATAGCATTATACAGCATAATTCATCATAGCCTCTTTCAGGCCCCCCATGTAGGGCCTCTACAATGTGGGGATGGTGAGTGGCTCTGATGAGAAGATGGGGTAGCCGAGGGGAGGGTCTGCCGCCTGCACAGTCAGATTTCTCAGTATGGTGGGATGTGCCTGGATGCTGTAGCGCTCCTCATCGTCGTTGGTCAGGTAGAGCAGCTCCATGCTGAGGTTTGCCCACTGACCTCGGACGACCTCGGGGCTGAGGCGGCCGATGTGCACCATGACGTCCTGGAGAGACAGCACCCGGCTGTTGTACGTTCCCTGGAGGAGAACACACATATGTCAGATTGATTGTCACATGAGCAGGAAAAATGTCAGGAAGACCTCCAAGTGCTATAAGAAAACTGGGAGTAGACTCTAATTTTGCCTATCAACCAAAACAGACTTGAACCTCTCCAGGAGATATTGCTTGATGTCACCCTTATCTCCTTGAATTTGTTTGTTTGTTGTTTAACTCAACAACTGACGCACTGCCGCACCCACCAGTGTTCCAGCTATATGATGGCGGTCTTTAAATAAGCGAGTCAGAACCAGACAATTCAGTGATTGATATGATGAACATCGATCCATGCAATGGGGATACAATGACATGCATCAACCAAGTCACTGAGTCTGACCACCTGATGTTGTTAGTCGTCTCTTATGACAAACATGGGTTGCTGAAGACAAATTCTAACCCGGATCTTCACGGGTCCATATGTCCTTGGAGATGTTGCTACAATGAAATTGCATCTTAATGCTCTGCAGGCAATTATGACATCACAATCAAATGACATCATAATCAAATGACATCACAATCAAATAACATCACAATCAAATGACATCACAAACCTCTCTGCCACTGAAGCTGATGAACTTTACACTCTTCACTCAACTACTGTTTACAAACTGAAAAAGTTTGAAGAATCATTTTGGATGATAAGTGGAATCTCACCCTGGTGTGTTTTGATATCAAATATATCAACACTAGAAGGTTTAAACCTTTATCAACTCATGTCGATATATTGATACGAAAAGGCACTCGGGTGATATTCTCTAGATGTTATCATTACTTGTGTGAGTATTGAGAAAAAGAAGTCCACAAATGTTGGCTTGCCTCTACATTAATCCTTTTAACCTCATTAAAATCAGATCTTAGTTCTCGCTAAACAATGATCTGAGGACATCCCAATACGGGTCATGTCAGAACGACCTTTCATCCAACCAATTAAAGACTCGCTTACCAGATCATGAAAGTGACAGTCAGAATGTGTTTCCTCATCATGCAATCTCGAAAACGTTAACACAGGGTATTCCGAACAACAGTTACGGCCTGTACGACTGATTCCATGAAAATTATCGTCTATCTCTCGCTTCCGTGGGATAAACATTTGAATGGAGGAGGCGTTGCACAGTACATGGGAAGTACTGTCATACAATCTCAACCATATATTAGACATTCCAGAATGTTCGTTTGTTCAGTTTTCAAAATTTTAACCGAGAACTGTGTCAACATATTTTTCAAGTGTAGTCTGAAATGGAAGTCGCCAGGTTGAAACGAGTGCCGTAATATTCGAGAAAGCTGCTTTCTAATTGTGTTTTCAGTGGTCGGTCAAAGTTCGTGAATGGTTGTTCTGATGTGACCCGTAATGGGATGTCCTCAGATCTTTGTTTAGCGGCAGTGATAACTTGTATCTGATTTTAATGAGATTATTTTTCTTTGAAATATGAATATATTTTTCTCACAAGGGATTAGATTCGTGTAAGATTGAGGTAAATTTCTGGACACGTTCCCACACGTGTGTCATATGGTTAAACAAGAAAACAGGGTAGCCCTGTGTTATTGGTTGAAAGAAGTCATTCTTTATGATCTAAATAATTGTACTAACCACAAGTGTTTCAAAAAGTTGAGGTGACTAAACCATAAACTTAAATTTCGTGTTCTCAAAATTTCTTGAAACAAAACAATCAATATTGCAATCACTTGCCCTTCAAATAATGAGAAATATGTTACTGAATTTCAATTTGAAGGGTGTTTGTTTTATTCTACTTTCATGGATTATTAATGAAACTAAAAGAAACAACAGTTTGAGTTGCTGTGTACCTGTATTGAGTTGTGTCCCAGGGAGAACAGGTTGTTAGTGTTGGCCAGCACAAACTTGCTCCACTGAGGGTCACTGTCACGCCCGATGTACCAGCTGTCGTCATAGTCCTGGAGGTACTCGATCAGCTCCTCGTCTGATGAGATGGGCCCCAGCAGCACTTCATCTATCATCAGCTTCAACCCATACCTGCAGGCACAAGGTGACTGTAAGCAGCCTGTACACCCTACACAGAATAATGGACTGTCCTGAGACTAGTCCTTCATATTGCACATGTGAAACTGGATATAACCTTTTCAATAAATACTGTTTCTGATAGTGTCATTCATTTCTATAAAACTAGCACTTTTAAACCACTGATTTACCAGTGTGGATTCGAGGTCAGAAAATGTCATGGATTGGTGCTCCTACTATCAACCACTGGCTTGCCGGACCAAGACTCTATTATCCATATATATATCTATATGCTACAGCTGGTATACTACTGTTCGTGCTGTGAAACAACAATCACTGTTTTCCTGATTACTGTTGCATTGAGTGTTTAATGCGGCACTCAGCAATATTCCAGCTATATGACCGCAGTCTGCAATTAATCGAGTCTGGACCACAAAATCCAGTGATCGATTTTATGAGCAATGATCCACACCAATGGGGTACGAAGACATGCAATCAACTAGGGTTGGGACGTGTAATTCGGGTACTTGGGTCGGGTGGGTCCTCAGGACCCAACACGACCCTTGGTTAGTCACGTGATATATTGTTTAATGACAAAACTTACTATAGCTCAGTGGTTACACTACAAGTAGCTAATGTTCACATTTCGTTCAGATGATGCACGCATCCCTTCTGACTTGTATATGTTTAAGTAAAGATAAAGCTTCAGTCAACAGGTCAACTTCAGTGTACGCATGATTTGATTGTTTGATACATGTATCTAAATAGTCTTAGCCAGGGCTGCAGTAAAACAATTTGGTTCCCTACTCTTGAGACTTGCATTGGGCACCCGGGTAGGGTCAGGTAATAGGAGTAGTAAATTTGGACTCATTCCAGCCCTACAATCAACTAAGTCACCAAGCCTGACAACTCAATCCATAAAGTCACCTCTCGACGACCATCACAGGTTGTTGGGAACCTATTCTAACCCGGAACCCTTTGCATGTCACTGTGACAGAGTTACCTGAATGATTTGATGACCAGGTTGTATAGCTCCTTGTCCTCTGCCAGCCAGTCCATCATGGCGTTCCAGGGAACATCGCCTGTGTAACACTTGTACAGATAGTTGGGCCCATTGGGCTTGTCTGAAAGAAAATCATTATTGAATGAGTTTGACTTAGCAAGCTTTTCTGTATAGTCAAGTCCTTTTCATTTATCAAATCAAATTAATGAACACAGCTTTTGTTTGCACTCAGCAATATTCTACTTATATGATGGCGGTCTGTAAATAACCGAGTCTGGACTAGACAATCCAGTGATTGACATGAGCATTGACCTATACAATTGGGATATGAAGATATGCATCAACCAAATCATCAAGTCTGATCACGCGATCCATTAACTCGCCTCTTACAGCAAGCATGGGATGCTGAAGACAATTCTAACCTGGATCTTCAGTGTTTGTCTGTTACAAAGCCCCCAACCAATTCAGAGAGTCTGACGACCCGATCCTGTTAGTGGTCTTTTAAAACAACCATTGAACCAGGCTTTGAGCCAGGCTTTTGGCAGTCAAAGTTGAAACTGCACCTAATATTCTTCTGATATGTGAAGCTTAAAGAAATGGTAGGTCTATTAATTATTTTCTAACATCAACCAAATGAAATCCTCTAAAGTAACTTACTTTGACTATCAAACGCGGAATAGCAAGCCATAATGAGTTGTGAGTAGCAGTTGGTCAGCGCATCATCGGCGCCAACGTCAATAGCTACTTTCTCCCCGGGCAAGCCAGTGGCTGACCAGTCCAAAAGGCTGAGTACACTGCGGTACCAGGTGACCGGGAACTGACCGATATGCCTGGACAGCTGGGAGTATTCAATAGGCAGTTCCCGCCACTTGACAGGCAGGCTGATATGGGAGGAATGTTGACACTTGAAATCTGGGGAACCTGCCAAGTTTGTGACAGGTTTATATATATGGTTCACAGGATTCATTTTTGAGTTCGTGACCGGCTTTGAAAAAACAGCAGCTGCCGCTGGCTTCTTAGGTCGAGACAGATCTTGTGCCGGGAATCCAAATTCAAAATCATCCAACAAATCATCAATGTCGTTATCACACGTTTTCTTTGTTGCTTTTGCCGCCTGTGAGTATGGAGCTGGGGATGGTGCTTTAGGCTGTGACGTCGCGTTCCTCGATGTTCTCAGATTCATTTTTTTACGATTATCACCATCCGCATCAAAGTCATCCGACCAGATACTATCAGTAAAACTGTGAATTGAAGACGACCAGGATGCCTTCCTTTGCTTTTTGCCTATTGACTGCGCTGATGGAGGTCTTGCTCCATTGTCAATCGGACCAAGATTGTTCTTGATCAATGAATTGTTCACTGACTGTACATTTGTCACAGTATTGTTTCGTTTGTTGTTCAGATCGGACGTGTGGTGGTTGTGATTAATTTCCTCGTTAGTTTTACATTCTATCACAGGTTGCGCTTTTTTAATACTTTCTTCTTTCCTCTTGGTCTTGTTGACATGGTGTAGAATCACCCACACAAGACTTTTCACAAAGAATGTCATGGTGGCATTGACGCTGTCCCGAGTGTCAATAACGCCCGTCAACACATTCCGTGCATCCGAATATGTCTTCACTTGGGCCGAATCCACCGGGGTCAGGGAGTGCAAGGGGTACTTGTTAAAGGTGCAGGGTGAGAAACCTCCCTCCTTCTCAAATGCTACTTCAAAAATATCATCTAAGCGGGCTGCCTCAGCCGTGTGGCAGGACGTCTCCTGCAGCTCCAGCCCCTTGACGCTGACGGTACAGAAGCCGGCCCCACGCTCCAGGATCATCACCCACAGCAGGCGGTCCTGGAAGCGCACAAGGTAGTGGTTACCTGGCTTCGGCTCACCTGAAACAACAAGCATGACGATCACAATGAGGTGGAACAACTCTGCAAACAAACGTTACTGGAAAATTCTATCCATTAATACATACTAATTGATGATTCGTAATCGTGTGACTTGGAAAGCAAAACTTTATCTTGGACCTTCCGATTCACACTTAGCAGCCATTATGGGACAGAATTCTATTAAGGGATCACTGAAATCTATTCCAACAATGACATATTCATATTGGCACAGAGTCACCCATCCCTGCATCAACAGGAATGCACAAAATGATTTAGTTAAATTTATATCATAGGGGGACACTGAACTGCATATTGTTTCAGTCTTGGTCTAGTGAGTAAGTTGGGTTTAACGCTGCTGTTAACAGTATTCCAGTTATATCACAGCGTGTCAGCTTAATGTGGGAGGAAGTGATGCAGGTCTCAGACATTTACCACACTGGTGAAACCCACAAGAATGAGTATGATGCTAACAAGCCTAGACACTGAATCGGGGCAAACTGGGCTTCGAACCTACATTCATAGGTTTCTGGTGTGCCCAAGGAATGCAACTCTGCACAGCAATATATCTTACATACTATACATGTAAAGTCACTTACCTAGACTACCATTGGCAAAAGCAGCCTTGAGGCCTCTTGCAAACTGGGGTGTGAACTGTCGGTAGTAGATGGTATCGGTACACACATTGGCAGATCCACCTACAGCCTCAGCCCAAAACTTCTGGGGGCGTGGAAACCCGATAAAGAACAGCGGCAGGGTGAAGAGAGGTAGGAGGGGGGCAGAGAGAGCAGCAGCCGCCCCTAGTATTGCCAAAATAACAGGGAAGAAGATGAGAGAGAGGAAGATGACAATGGCGGTTGAGCCGCGTCGCTGTTTCTTGTCAAGCCAGGAGGTGGAGAGCAGGACAAAGAAGAAGTAGAGTTTGTTCATGAGCTGGAAGAGTCTGTCTCGAGCCAGTCCGATGAGGAGGAGGAGGATGGGCGCCCCCAGGGATTGGACAGTGCTGGAGCTAGTCAGGGTGAAGATGTGCAGCACCGACATCTCCAGGAGGGCATGGACACTGCTCTGCCACGTCTGTTTGGGGGAACAAACTTTAGGTTCATTTCATGTTATCATCATGTCATACAGCAGTGGAAACAAACACTAGTTCTTATAATGATAACATATAGCAAAAGCCTTAAAAATTGCAAATTTCTACTAGTCCTTATATCTTAACTATTGTGCAGTTTGGCAAGGACTATATTACCAGTGCCGATTTCTAATGCTGCCATAGCAGTGAGTGAGTTGGGTTTAACGCCACTTCTAACAGTATTCCAGTTATATCACGGTGTGTCAGCTTAATGTGGGAGGAAAGTCCGAAGTGATACAGGTCTCAGACGTTTACCACTTTGGTGAAACCCACGAGCACAGTAATGATGCTGACAAACCTAGAAACATAATGGGGACGAACCAGGATTCGAACCCATGATCATAGGTTTCTGGTGTGCCCAATGGATGCAACTCTGTACAGCTAATCGCGGCGCCTTAGACGACTGGGACACCTGGGACACCTGTGCCCCCCTGCCATTACCATAACACGAGATGCACAGTAAAGCAGTGCACATGTAAAGCAATGTAACTGCCTGCTATTAGTATTAGGATTTTTTAATTTTGTATTGAAAATGGAAATAAAAACATAACATACAGCGGACTTTATGATGATGTGGGCAGTGCCTAAGAACCAAGACTAATGTTTTTTTTAGTCCTATAGCATTTATTCATCTGACGAAGAAGTAAGTATGTACTCTGCAACGTTGTGTTCCTCCTAATAAAGAAGTTGACATCCATAATTTCTCTTCCTTAGGTCTTACATGTTTAAAACTCTGGTGAAAAACCATGAGCATAGTCATGGCACTGACAGGAATCAAGGTGAATCTACCAATCTTTGATTCCTGCCACAGGTTTCTGTTGCACCTAAACATAAGCATGATAAGGAACACAACATTGCACAGTGAAATGTGGCGACTGCGTAGCATGAATACATGCTTTTTCTGGTAGTAGTTTCAACTAGTGGTCCTGGTTTTTATTCAGCAAACATACAATATGTACATGAAAAACTGTCACATAACATGCCATACATACCACTCTGAAAGCTCGGACAACCCCAAATGTGAACCATATGGCATGGTACAGGTCAAGTCCTGTTGTCGCCGATGATGTCATGACATTGGTCTGCGTGACGACGAGTGACAAGTACGCCAGCATCAACAATGGGCCAACTAAAATCAAACAAAATTCTGAATCAGGGCGGCTGAATGGGGGAACAAGACATGATAAATTTGTGCTCATCACTGACATTCTAGATTTTGTCCTGGCTCTGTGCAAAGTTTCATGAAGAAAAAAACACTGACATAAAGACAAAAGATTTTGGAAACAACTCAACCATTAATGTTTGCGTTTAAGGCGACATATGCACCTTGTTTCGGTAAGCTAAATATGTTGTAGCAGGATCACGAGGGGTACATGGGGTTTTATGTGTCCCTTGTTAGGTTTTATACCATTCACCTCAAGCTCCGGCTCGTGGTATAAAACCTAACTACTAAACTAGGGACGCATATAACCCCATATACCCCTTGTGATCCTGTTAAAACTTATATGGTCAAGATGATGACAAAGATGAAACAGTGTCCCCTCAGGCACTCACCAAATGTGATAAACACTCTCCTCAACAACCCAAGATACAGAAGCTGTGTCTTCCTTCTTCTGTAGACCCTCTGAATCTGGCTGCTGTGGGGAAACAGTATGTTCCTGTACAGTCCGAAGAACACATACACCCCTTGCGAATCTCGAAGCAGCTTCTCTGCCACACAGACTCCGATGATGGCATAGCCCAGGATGTCCCTGACACTTGTGCCAATACTTTGTGAATAGTAATTAATTGCTGCACTCTCCCCGACAATTACAGCTAGCATGATGAAATGATATGCAAATGTTGCTAGGCCCCATGTCCACAGAAATCCTTCATTTTTAGTCACCCGCTGCGAATCTCGGAGGTTCTGACTGGAGGATATTCTGTTCGTAGTTCGGCACAGGTTCCAGATCTGTGTGCCTAAACGGCCAAGGTCAATGCTGAGAATGTAGCCAAATATGGCTGATATGATGACTGTTGCAAACACAAAAGGAATGAAGTAGGCTGCCAAATAAGCTCCAATAGACAGAACAAGTAGCACAATCAACCTGAAAGAAAAAAGAAACACGGATTGAATAGTTGAACTTTTTGTTACTGTATTTTAAAACCATAGAAGTTATCTATACTACCATCTGGTTGTTCTAATTGTAATAATAATAGGCTACTCTGGGGCATGCTCAAAACGCTATTACCCTGGTCACTGGATCAGTGTACATTCAAGAATCATTCTCAGCTCCCTGGGGAGTATACAACCCAAGCTGCCTGTTAGGTGCTAGAAGGTTAACACCCACATTGCCATCTCATCCTACCGGGTACCCATTCACTGCTGGGTGAACAGAGGCACACTTAGAGTGAAGTCACTCGTTACATGTGCTTCAGTGTGGGGCAGGACTGAAGCCCTAGAAACACTCAGGACCCTAGCTGCCGAACCGTGGTCACCCATCCAAGGACTCTCTGCGACCGGCGTTGCATAACTTTACCTGACCTTAAAGTGACCTGTACGAAGTGCACAGGACCATCTGTCACCACGTTGTATGACATCAAGTGTCATTATTCATTTATGCTCTGCAGGAGTATAGTGTTCTTACTAATTAGCATCCTTAAGAACAGGAAGAAGTTACAAGTGACACACAACGCCTACTCACTATGGGAGAACCCCTACATTCAAACCAGAATTACTGCCATAGTTGTAATGGTTTAAAGACTGCACAACATTATCGGTAGACCATTAAACTGTAATGCAAACTTCAACAATATGTATTGCTATACTGTCTAAATGGTTTGGTATATTGAGAAAATGTCAATAATTGTGTATTTCATTTGGGATTTATCAATAATGAAATAAACTAAAATCTTCCTGGCACAGCTATTCTCAGACAATAATATGTCTACTATACACTCTCTAAGGTATATAGGTAGGAGCTGTCAGTACCAAAAAGCAATGATACTAGTGCATGTGCCCAACATTACTTTCCCTGTCGCTAGTAATGGCAGCCCTATGCATTGTTTCTGTTTACACATCATTGCAGCCAAAGATTTTTCATTTGTTTACGTCTTTGAGCTACAGAACTCACAAAAATGCCAATGACAATATATTGCCCTACAGTTCACAATATATCAATATCCTGTATATCTCAATATACTGCATCACAAACTTCCATGCAATACACAGCTCGAAATGTTAACAGATCCTGTGTGTAACATAATACTAACAACTACCTACATCATATGAGCATTATTAGAACAGATTGTGTCCACTTCCTAGTAGGACTGGGAGAATAAACCAACTGTGCAATCCGATACGTATCACAATACCTTGCTCACGGTCCGATACGTGTCACGATACTTGCATGTGGTCTTTTCTGTGGTGCGTACGCCATCTTTTTCATAGACAGGACGGCCAAATACTTGGCACACAAACGATTTACAGTTGGCAGTGTCAAGTATGGCGCAATGGATGAAAATAGTTACGTTTTCACTAGAAATCAGTGTTTGGAGTAACATTTAAAATAGAATACATATAAGGTATAAAATCGATACTTTTTACTTCATGTGCGATTGTGATTCATACTTGTATCGACAAGTCAAAAAATCGCGATCCACTGATACTACTTCCGACCTTGAGTGTCAACTCTAACAACCCTGACAACATCATCAGTGACTCAGAAAAGTAACTGAACTCCAATACAATGACAACCCATGGCTACCTTACAACACCAACCATTGGTAGCCTTGTGTATCCTCTGGTACCAACCTTGCATTAGAAGCCATGGGGGAGCCTCCAAGGAGGAACACATGCACCTGTTCCATAAGCCAGAGGAAAAGGGCGTCCACTGGCGGGAGGATGCCGGTCACCCACAACAGAGGAAGGAGAGCAAACACGATATGGAGAACCTGATCGGCTACTTGGAACGTGTTGTAATACCTGAAGTAAACATGAGTTTAAAGTCAATATGATGATGATGATGATGATGATGATGATGATGGGTAGTCATATTTCATAATAACAAACACTGGGCTGAGTATAAGCCTGAACCAAAATTGTACTATTTGACATGTGACAGGGTTAGAAACTAACAGTTTTCGTCCACTAGTCCTTATAATGATAACATATAGCAAAACCCTTAAAAAGGGCAAATTTCTACTAGTCCTTATGATACCTTTACCATTGGACAGTTTGGCAATGACTATAGGACTAGTGCAAATTTCTAACGCTGTGTGACATCTTGGTAAAAAGCAAAAAGACTGAAGTAGATCATTGACTGGTTTGGACCATATAAAGAAATTTACTGTAATCATGGTAATGAAACTTAATCATGTTAATCATGTTAATAAATACTGCTTACCATGATTACATATTGACTGTACTCATGGTACCACATAGCAATTTCTTTGGTCTCTGCTAATGTTATCATGGCAAGGTACATGACCATGACTGTTTACAGTCATAATTTACCAGAGTATTTGAACTCCTGTCTGTATTTGTAACATTTTGCCATTGTTTGTTAAACCAAGGAGAATATTATCATGATTATAAGGATTAATTATTGTTAATACCATTAATAACAATGTTACTTACCAGTAGAATACATGGAGAGATGTACAGACTAGAACATAGAAAGGTCGCATGAGAGGGGCTATCTCATGAACATCCATAGTTTTGAAAATGGCTGGCTCCGGTGGGGGCGCCGCAGTCAAAGAGTACTGAGCCACACATAGAGTCAACCAACCAAAAATATGCAACACAGCTGTGGCACCATAGTTGAAACCATACAGTCTGTTTAGTGTGTAGGGCAACAAATACCACAGAGTCAATCCACACATCGCTCCGGACACGAGAGCATGAAAGAAAATGTTGAATTTGTAATTTTTCGGTGGGGTAACAAATTCAACAGTCTCTGCGCCACAGCAGGATTCAAAGTCGATTTCATCCTCTTCCGCAAACAAATTTTTCTTGTTTCGTATTTTTAAGTCAAGTTCTGTTTGTTGCATTTTGACGACAGTGCTGATGACTTGCAGCACAAGCACAAAAATAAACATGCATGCACCATACACACAGCAATAGAGAAGCAGCTGTTCCTGAATGACTTCATCACTGTAATTTAATTCTAAAACGAGGGTGAAAATTCCGCCTAGCAACCATGGAATGATCCACAGAAGAATCTGATTCAAATAAACATAAGCTGGTGCATCATAGCCAAGACGGAACTTTGGACCACCCAGGACAGTCTGTGGAAATCGTTTCCAGAAAAACTCTTGTTTGTAATCGTTCAGAAGTGGTACTCCAGTTCCCATGATTGTGACCTTGACTTTGCTCCAGGTGAAAGGAAGAAGCTGACTTCTGATGCACAATGGACCAAGTGACTTCAAGATGCAGGCGGTGGTGAGCTTGAGAATCTGTGGGCAAGCTTCACCACCATTTTTCAGTTGCTTAATTCCTGTAAACATAGTATAGCAACATACATGTATAATCAGTACAGTCAAGAATCTGTTTCATTCTGTTATACCATGTCCACTCCAGCATTGTTGATGATTAAACTATTTTGGAGCACCTTTAGAATACAGTACCACAATTTCTCGTGAGGACGATCTCTGCCATAGGTCACACGTCTCAAGACAAGCAACCAGTTTAAGTGAGAATCCGTCGGACGCGAGTGAGTGAGTGAGTTAAAATTTTACGTCACATGGGCAATATTTCAGCCATATGATTGACACTTACGAAGGTTACGGGTAGGCATGGTGTCTCGTGACTTTAGTCTACGGACACTTATGAATGATCCCGATGCCATTTGGCACACTCGTCCCATTCCGTAATCTACAAAATACTGAGTGGTGAGGAATGAGCCGATATGCCGCGAACTGAAAACGGCTCCAGGCGTCAGACGTCAGACTTCGAACTCGCGAGTACGCATGAATGATATGGTATTTATTAATTCGTCGGGTGACAGAAAAGTGTGGTAGGGAACACTGTAAGTATGATGGTGATAATAGTAAGGAACGAGGGAGGAATAAGCATGACTAGTGATGACACAACGGTGAGTTCGCTTTTGAATCAGTACTGAAAAAATGTAGCCGGTGAAAGTGGCTTATGTGAATGTTCCAGGACAGTTCCCAGTAGCCAAAATATTCAACATTTCATCCTTTTTACTCGACGTTTTTGTGTGAAGAATATTAGGAACCGCTATATAATCTATAATAGCCACTAAACAAGTACCTAACCCTATTGATCATAAAGGGGATCCAAGGGTTAAGGATAGATCTGGGTAATCTAATAGCCACTAAACGGGTTCCTAACCCTAATGATCGTAAAGGGGTGATTTATCGTAAAGGGGATCCAAGGGCTAAGGATAGAGTTCGGGGTAACCTACAATAACACTGACGACATTTGGATGTGTTCAGCGCCAATATCATATCCCTAATAAACTGCATTCTTGTGCAAAATAATGAAAATTAATTAACCCAAAAAAAATTATATGTATATTAGTTCCCATTCAAACCACTTTATCCACTTCAATTACGAGAAAAACGAAATAAAAAATAAATAAAAAAATAAAAGTGCTTTCGTAAACTAGCGCTTGCTCTAAAATGCGCCCCCACAGGCTATAATTAGTAAACGAATACTCAAAACTTTCAACACCGCAGGGCATATTCAATGAAATTGCGTGTAGAAATGATAGATCACTGGGAGGAGCTTATGCACACTCGATGACCCCTGACAGGGCATTGTTTCGCCGGTGTGACTTGCAACAAAATACTACAAATTACATCATAGGGTATGATCACGTGTTTGAAAAGTTTGTGGTACTGTATTCTAAAGGTAGGCCACTATATTTTTACAGTAGATTCTGATTTTTTAAAATATGAATAACCATGAACATGGAATGAAAACTCCAGGCTTCACCATATTAACACATTAAAACATGTTAAAGTTTAACGATGAACATGTAGGCAGCCAAATAAGTGCAAATGGGTATCTTGAGAAGTTTTGATGTATTTTTTGTTGAGGAGTTGACAAGATCGCCACAATATATTTTGACCCAAATACTAATCACATATTGTTAAAACAAAAAGAATATGCCCAGTTGTGATTATGATGTGCAAATCAGTTACACAAGAAACACAACTGATAGTCTTCCCCTCTGAAACTAAAGAAACTATACCACGGCTGTCAAAACAATGTCTATGTTATGAATAATTCAAAACAAACAAACAAAAGATAGAATTTTTAAACGTATCTTAAATATGTGCATAACGTCTTTTGGGCATAGCTATTTAACTAATTGCCGAAAGTACGCAATATTAATGCTAAGATGTAAAATTAACTTACCGAGAAGACCTCATGTATGCCCCAATTTGATAAATTTATGTTGTCTTGTGCACAGACAAACATCAGCCATTTTGACACAAATGGCATTTCCTTTGCAACCACAAAGCTATAATCTTTACTTTCGTATCCAAAGGTTCAAGCGCTTATTATATGACTGGTTATAAGGGATACATCAGTAAATACCTTATCTTGTTTTGTGGAAAAAAATAGCATTATGCCTGATCCTGATCTATCGGATTATTTTTTATTGGGATACGGAACTAAACAACGCACCTGCAAAGATATTATCAAAATGGCGCTAGCCGGTGTGACAGTAACGGTGGAACCAGTGTTGGAACACCAAATACAAGAAGTGAAGCTTGATGGACAGGAAGTATACGTACCGTACGGATATTTAAAGTTCACTTTAGCCATTGCACACAGAGTTCATATTCAAATGGGATCACAGAGCACATTGTACCGTAAACAAACACGTTGCTTGCCATCGCTTGTTGTCACAAGTGACCGTTTAAGCTTGATACCACAGGGGATATTTTCATTGTTGTAATTAGTGTTTCATTTGCTCTGTGGATTTGCATTTAGATGAAAGAAAGGTTAGAACTACAACTGATGTTTTGTAAGAATGTTGCAGCACTTCCTTTACACAAGCGAATTCGTACCCCTTGTAATTTCGGAAACCTAAAAATAAGAAACTTCGCAACTCTATTTGATATTTCTTGATATTCGTTTATAAGACAATATAATAGTTGGATTATAGGTTCCCAAACAATTTATACTCCTGTACAATATTATCGTTGGATTACTGGATAGCGGTCAGTTACTGCCATTTTTTTCATGTTATTTAAAAAAATCTGGGTGTAAAGTTGACTCTACCAATAACTTTGATTTTTGTGAAACTATGACCATGATGACATGATGAGGAAGAAACACTTACTTTTGTCTGTGGAAAAAGTTTTAGTACATTTCTGTTACCATCATGCAATCATTGGATTCGCATTTATGAAGTCAACCATTCATTATCAATAACATTCACAACAACATACACATGTATACATCAATTTTTATATCATCACTTTATATACCTTCACCTGGTGTTATTGTTAAATATGCATCTTCAGTCTCCAAATCAACTGCAACTTGGATCAAGGAGCCCTGTAATAATTATCAATTTAAGCCATGTTTTCTTAAACATGTTAAAGATTAGCTTTGGTCAACAGAAAAGTCTCATATGTTGTTCTTGTTCAAAGAAAATATTGCCTCTACACATTCACATTATAGCTTATAAAATATGTTTAATATATATTGTGTAATTCATTGCTTTTTGCTTTGGGGTACAAAATTACTCTCGATTTGGGGTACGAATTCTTTTGGGATATGAATTTACATACACCGATTGTAAGATATCTTTCTTTGTTAGGTCCACTTGAAGTTTGTTGACATGGTAAAGTACATTGTTCAATATCAGACATTGCTACTATAAACATGCTTATTGTGAGGACAATCTGTTGTAGGTAACACGTCATTAGGACAACAACCAGTTTGTGAAACAAAATTTCCCAAATTTCACGTCATATGGTATAATGAAATTTTGGTAAATTTTTAAATTGAATTCTAATCATGCTAAAGGTAGGCCCATTCTTAATTTTCCATTACTACACTTCGAAAAATCATGACATTGGAATGCTAGTTGAATCATGTTGAATATTTGTTACCACTGGTTAGTGGTTACAAAGACTATCAGAAAATCGTGAACTTGATCTTATTTCTTTTTCTCCACAGTCCGTTGTCTATGTCAGAGAACCTCTCAAAACTAGCACATAAGATTGATTTCTACAAAGATGAGAGTGAGGGAAAGGGCAAGCCAACATCAGAAGGAGAGAAAGATGGAGATGAGGAGAAAGTCCTGGCCCCATTTCAACCATCTCTGTGGCCCTGGGATTCAGTCCGAAATAAACTCAAGTAATTATTATTATTGTTGTTTGATCCATGGTATGTTGTGACTATCTCCGTTCATCTTCCCGTAGCAAGAGAGTTAACTGACTATAAAAGTCCAGTTTCCACCCTTGCCGAACTAGGCTGGTATTATGGAGTTACATTTTCATGTGATTTTGGCTGGACTAACGAGTATATGCATAGTTCAATCAAAATCATGGAATGAAATCGAAATCCGGTTCATAAACTGCCGTGCAGATTGCAGGATTTGTAAAGCATGTGCACCGCCAACTCGTTGCCAACAGAAATTTTCTAAGTCTTTTCATGTTTTTGATGAAGGTGCTCATGTGATTTGATGCACTTCGCGGGGGCACGGGTGGCCCAGTCGTCTAAGGCGCCACGATTCGCTGTGCAGAGTTGCGTCCCTTAGGCACGCCAGAAACCTATGATTGTGGGTTCGAATCCTGGTTCGCCCCAATTATGTTTCTAGGTTTGTCAGCACCATACCCGTGCTCGCGGGTTTCACCGAAGTGGAAAACGTCTGAGACCTGCATCACTTCGGGCTTTCCTCCCACATTAAGCTGACACGCCGTGATATGACTGGAATACTGTTAAAAGCGGCGTTAAACCCCAACTCACTCACTCACAACCCAATGATGCACTTTGCGATGAAAGACCCGTTTTATCACAATATAAATCTTGATTATCAATAAGATCGTCTTGACTGGGCGCCGCCATGTTGTTTGAAAAAAATTTAAGTGATACGAGTGGTGGAATCCGATTAGTCCATAGGAGAGGCTTAGAAGGGACATAACTCATACTCGTAACTCGTAACCGTTGTCTGATGAATAGAAAGAAGGCGAGCAGAAGGTCGGTGATTACCAAAAGACGTTTAAGCATGTTAAGGATCATGTTAAATACTGTAAATCATTAAATTAATGCGTCTCCAAAAGAATGCGACCGCTGGCCCCTAGCCAAAAATGCGACTCAATATGAATGCGACAACCCCCTCCTCTCAAGCATCAGTGGATTTATATCTAAACAAAATGTCCTCTGTCAGGTTTACAGGAGAATCCTCACCTTAATCCAACCTTACATTAATCCAATCACACACCAAATAGCACCTCTTATTAGCGCTGAGTAGAGTACTTCAGGTAAAACAGTATGTGCGCGCTGGCTCGTGTCGGCCTTTGATGCAGTCGCACAGAGCAAAGACACCGTGTTGGGTGGCGTCTGTCTGGACTTGCAGGTGGGATCAGTGATGACATGAGTGAGCAGAATGCTTGTCTTGACCCCAGCAGTGACAATTCACAGGATGTAATTAGTGTTTGAATGACATTGTTTATATACTTGTAACAAGTGCTGCTCAATAAACAGTGATGTGGAATACATAGTTGTTTGTTTTCAGCGTATGTCTAAGTTGGTATTTCTGCTATCCAAAATGTCTTATTGTTGATATAAATGCGATGTTTAATATTGCGAGCAAAGACCACTCACATTTTTCGCATTTAATTCACGCTCGCATTAATATCAAGATTTACAGTATAAGTAAGTCTGATTCCTGTTTCCTGATGATGAGGAAGTCCTCTTGTTGTCCTGACAGATCCTCCCTGACAGAGATCAGTGTGTTGTTAGATGTGCTCAACTTGGCCAAGGAGAAGCGGTACATGGTAGCTGAAAATGTCTCACAAGAATCGCCAGATCAGAAGGCTTCTTTACAACTTCTGTCCAAGAAGAAGGTGAAATATGTTACTCCATATGTACATTAATTACCACGTCTAATTAGATGTTTTTATCAATGATGATTAGCATTAGCATGGGATAAGTGTTAGATAAACAAGAGATGATTAAAATAACAAAATTAGTTTTTCTGGATATTAATTCATCAATATCAGATATTTTTGTCCTCTGAAAATAGGAATATCTTTGTATGTTGCTATGTTCATAAATTGTTAATGTTTCTGCTGTATCGACACAAATTTATGAATGTCAATACTAACTTAATAGTTCACTGCCACAGAAAAGCTTACATTTGTTAAGAATACCATGGCTGAAATGGAAGGCAGAAAGTTCAAATTTGAACATTCAATGGATCAGACTAGTTCACATTTAGCATGTTTAGTATTAAGCTGATTAATTGTTGGTCTAGACATTTTTGTCTGTACATACATGTATGTAGTAACTAATTTTGTCATTAATTTATATATATGTATGTTTGATACTTTTCCAGTCAATGACACCCCTATCTGAAAATGTAATTGAAATATGCTCTTAGGGCGTAGTGATGAGCAAATTAAACATAGTAGCTAAGTTTTCACTTTGAAGGGTCTGTTTCCATCATATTCGTCAAGTTGTATCTGTTTGACAAATAACTCGGCTTCTACAGAGTCTGATAGAAGCCTCTGCGTGTCTTATGAGAGGTGCCGACCGACTGAAGAAATCTCAGATTGAGGCATCTAACAGAACCCAGAATGACTTCCACATTGAGCTGCTCAAATTGCGACAGAACTGGAGGCTTAAACGTGTGGGGAACACCATTTTTGGAGACCTGAGTTATAAATCTGGTGAGTCAAGTAACCATGGAAACTAATTTGTATTTGACACTCTATGTGTAGTTAGTGTCTAAAATTAAGCATGAAAGTCAAGGGCTTTTAACAAAATGAATGATTACTCTTGTCCCGACCCCTTCAGCCTCGGCCCACCTCAGGAGTCGGGTACTCGGGTCATGGTTGTTGCATATTGACCTCGTTTTACTAGAGTGAGAGAGTGAGTATGGTTTTACGCCTCTTTTAGCAATATTCCAGCAATATCACGGCGGGGGACACCAGAAATGGGCTTCACACATTGAACCCATGTCGGGAATCGAACCGGGTCTTCGGCGTGACGAGCGAACGCTTTAACCACTAGGCTACCCGACCGCCCCTCGCAGTTTACTAGAGGTATAACAGATATACTCTAGTGGTTTGCCCATCTTTAATTCACCCGGTGTTCTGCTCCAGCTGGTTCCAGGTTCATGCAGGCAGGGACGTTTGAGGTTGTGAAAAGTTCCGAGTCGACTTTAGAGCCGGAAGCTGGGGGTCCGAAGAGCTGCCTTGAGGTGCACATCCCCAGTGAGCTGGAGGGCGTGGCCTACATCCAGGTCGAGGTCAAGAGCGTCCCAGGTGAGCCGGCATTTAATTTGGTCATCAGTGTCCCTTATTAAATGACATTGAATCACAGGATTGTTTATTTGTTGTTTAACGCCGCACTCAGCAATATTCCAGCTATATGACGGCGGCCTGTAAATATTCAAGTCTGGACCAGACAGTCCAGTTATTGACATCATAAGCATTGATTTACACAATTCATGAATTGGGATCGATGACCTGCATCGACCAATGCACCGAGCCTGATCACCCGATCCCGTCAGTCGCCTCTTACGACAAGCATAGTCGCCTTTTACGGCAAACATAGGTTGCAGAAGACCCATTCTAACCCGGATCTTCACAAGTTGAAAGTCAAGTGAGCTTAAGTCTTGGTCGGTCTCTTGTCCATTGTAAACATATCCTCCACAGAAACCAATGATCCAAAGAAGCTGAAATGCACTTACTGCATGAATGATGACACACTAATTTGCTCAAGAAGTTCAAATCCGATTTTCAATATGGCCGCCATGGCAGCCATTTTGAAAGGGTTATTGTCATGATATTTATGGCTGTTACTGTCTTTTGTGTTCAATTGTGATGAAATTTGGTACATGTGTAGTTAGTAGTGGGGCTGAACATATATGTTCCAGGAATTTTTTGCTGTATTTTATGTTTGACGTTGATTTGACCTTTGCACTTGGACTGAAAGTTGAAACTGCACTTGTCCAGAAACAAAGTCTGCTTGTCCATTTCATTGACCAATAGTCGTGTTTTTGTCACAAACTTGGTCTTTTACTGCCTCTGATTTTCTGTTTTGACATTCATGAATCAGTTTTCTCATCTCCAGGGCTTTCCCACATGAATAGTAAATCCATCCATTGCTAGGCTGTAGTCGAACGAAAACCATGTTCTTAGCAACCACTGCAATCTGAGCTGACTTCTTGCAAAATTGGCAACATGGTACTAGGGCTGGGACGAGTGCAGATTTACTACCCAGGTACCCCAGCCCGACATGGTGCTTTGATCAACTCATCAGCGAGCGTGATCCTGATTGTGGCATTCATTTCCCACATCCCTGCTTGAGGTGGAGGAACAACGAGTGTACAAGACCGCGAAGCACAAACATTGCGCAGTGACTGAAATATAGTGGAAACTGAGGCTAAATCCCAACTCACTCTCGGTCCTTGTTTCAGACATGATGGATCTGACATCGGCAACACTGAAGATGCCAGCCGGCCTGGGCTCCGTCCCGTCCGACGCCTACTGGCAGCAGAAACTAGAAGTAGCACAGAACGTTCTGTTTTGTAAAGAACTATTTGCTCAGGTATTACATGTTGCTCTATTTTGTCTCCAAGAATTTCAGTGATTTTGCTGTTATGTGCCAATATTTCAACATTAAGAAGATTCAAATTTCAGTTACTCATCAAGCATGATATGCTTAAAAACATGTAGTACAGTCAAGTCCCGTTAATCCAACATTGTTGGTTGCATATGATTATGTCGAATTAATGAGTATGTCGGATAAACGAAATTAGGTAGTACAAACGTTCGTGATAGAAAATTGGACAACTACAGGATAGATAACGATACAAACACATAGGAAAATGAAAAATGAAACATTCATAGTGTTGTGTTACATTCAGTGGAATATGTTTTCTAATCATGCAATCACTAAAGTTTAACACAAAACTACTGTTACGGACTGTCTGACTGATTCAAAATTGACTGATTTTTAAAGCATAGTCTGGAATGGAAATTGATTAATGATTAAATTGGTTGCCATCATTTGTGTCGGATAAAGCGGATTGTCAGATTAACGAGTGTTGGATTAACGAGACTTGACTGTAGTTGTGTATGAGAATTACACCTTGTATGAGAGAATTTATACTTCCATTTTCAGTTAGCCAGAGAGGCTGTCCAGGTGAAGGGCACATCCCCACATATGGTCATCAGCAACCAGATAATAACCAACGTGAGTACCAGTGTCCAAAATAGCTGCCAGCCCGCCTGCCTGTGGCTCGTAACTTTTCTGTCGGGCTGCATAAAATCTTTTTCATCCTTCCCGACTGTCTGGCAGATAATTTCAAGACTACTTATGTATCCAGTTTCATTATGACTCCTCGTGGATTCTCCATTAATTGTTAGCATTATTTCAACTGAATCAAGATGCGATTTGTCTCCTTTTTATCGTGACTTTTCAATATTTATGACGTTTCAACGCGAGCAGGTATTTTTGAAGATGGGCAGGCAACATTTATGGGTTACATGCCCTAGTGGCTTGTTGGGTTTTAAAATTATTTCAAACACTGGTGAGTACTAAGTAGATTTTCCTCGTAGTTTTTGGCAGTACAAAGTGTGCAAGTCAGGGAAGAATACAACCCCAGTATTCAGTGAAATATTTAAAAAAAATCTTTTTTTAATTTATCATGGTGAAATTAATGTTTTGCACTTATTTCGATGAGAATGTTAAAAAAACCCTTAACTTTTATACACCTGGAAAAAAGTTGAGCACCGCTTCACCTTACTTTCATGTTACCATGTGTCTTTGTGAAGTATTTACGTGTCACTGGTCTCGGTTTGATGTCATATTAAATGTCTAAGATACTCCAATACTTGAAAAGTTGATACAAAGAAACCGCCTCCGTGGTCTAGTGGTAGAGCGTCCGCCCGGAGAGCGGACAGTCTGGGGTTCGATCCCCGGCCGCGTCATATCAAGGACATGTCATGTGAACACTGTTTACTAGGTCCCATGTGTAAAACTGTGATTAATTGATTTGATTCATTTGAAAAGTCCCACTTTTTTTGCCATGCAAATGATATAGTGCTGACTGGTTGTTTCAGGTGTTCCCGGGTATTCAGCTATGCATCGTGCTCTGTCATTATACAGGAAAAGAAAAGAAGGTAAATATCTTTAATGTGTGGGTGTGGTATTCTGAGATATCTTACATGCTATAGGATTACATTAACACTATACCATACAGCCACATGAAGGGTGTTTCTCTATGTAACCCATGATATTCTGAGATATCTTACATGCTATAGGTTTACACGGGTTCGATTCCTGACATGGGTACAATGTGTGAAGCCCATTTCTGGTGTCCCCTGCCGTGATATTGCTGCAATATTGCTAAAAGCGGCGTAAAACCATACTCACTCACTCACTATAGGTTTACATTAACACTATACCATACAGCCAAATGAAGGGTGTTTCTCTATGTAACCCATGATATTCTGAGATATCTTACATGCTATAGGTTTACACGGGTTCGATTCCTGACATGGGTACAATGTGTGAAGCCCATTTCTGGTGTCCCCTGCCGTGATATTGCTGGAATATTGCTAAAAGCGGCGTAAAACCATACTCACTCACTCACTATAGGTTTACATTAACACTATACCATACAGCCAAATGAAGGATGTTTCTCTATGTTACCCATGATATTAATGAATGGGGATGTGAAAGTCACAATGACTGCAGAGTATGAACGTTGCTGGATGACTACAGGATGTCCAGGACGGTTCCACATGTACCGATATCCGATACAATATCTCTCAGCATGATGATCTGACATCTCATCCATTGGAGGTCAAACCATCCAAACCCTGAATGACCGTGGACCGCCAAGTTACGGATGTGTGGGTATTTTGGCCAATCAGATGTCAGCTTTCTGATATTATTTGGATTTTGGATTTCTTTACACAGAGCACAAACATTCCTTCTTTTGTGCCCCTTTTTGGGTGTAGTGCTTGGAAAAGCATGGCCTTTAATATTTACATTTGGAGCTGGTCATCTAAGCTCTTTTTCAAGAGCAGAAAAATTAAAGAACTTAGAAGCCTTGACACTGATTGGGTGATCTCCTATGGAGGGATTGTCAGTTCCTTATGTGAGGTTTCGTATCAGAGTAAAACATCCGATTTGGATTGGTGGAGTAATAAGCAAAGAAGTCGTGACATTTATTACACCCCAAGCTTGTACAACTGTGGACCAGGGAGTAAAGTACACCTTAAGCTTGTACAACTGTGGACCAGGGAGTTAAGTACACCTGTAGCTTGTACAACTGTGGGTCAGGGAGTTAAGTACACCTGTAGCTTGTACAGCTGTGGACAGTGTGGACCAGGGAGTTAAGTACACCTGTAGCTTGTACAACTGTGGGCAGTGTGGACCAGGGAGTTAAGTACACCTGTAGCTTGTACAGCTGTGGACCAGGGAGTTAAGTACACCTGTAGCTTGTACAACTGTGGGCAGTGTGGACCAGGGAGTTAAGTACACCTGTAGCTTGTACAACTGTGGGCCAGGGAGTTAAGTACACCTGTAGCTTGTACAGCTGTGGACCAGGGAGTTAAGTACACCTGTAGCTTGTACAACTGTGGGCAGTGTGGACCAGGGAGTTAAGTACACCTGTAGCTTGTACAACTGTGGGTCAGGGAGTTAAGTACACTGTAGCTTGTACAACTGTGGACCAGGGAGTTAAGTACACCTGTAGCTTGTACAACTGTGGGTCAGGGAGTTAAGTACACTGTAGCTTGTACAACTGTGGACCAGGGAGTTAAGTACACCTGTAGCTTGTACAACTGTGGACCAGGGAGTTAAGTACACCTGTAGCTTGTACAACTGTGGGCAGTGTGGACCAGGGAGTTAAGTACACCTGTAGCTTGTACAACTGTGGGCCAGGGAGTTAAGTACACCTGTAGCTTGTACAGCTGTGGACCAGGGAGTTAAGTACACCTGTAGCTTGTACAGCTGTGGACCAGGGAGTTAAGTACACCTGTAGCTTGTACAACTGTGGGCAGTGTGGACCAGGGAGTTAAGTACACCTGTAGCTTGTACAACTGTGGGCCAGGGAGTTAAGTACACCTGTAGCTTGTACAGCTGTGGACCAGGGAGTTAAGTACACCTGTAGCTTGTACAACTGTGGGCCAGGGAGTTAAGTACACCTGTAGCTTGTACAACTGTGGGTCAGGGAGTTAAGTACACTGTAGCTTGTACAGCTGTGGGCCAGGGAGTTAAGTACACCTGTAGCTTGTACAGCTGTGGACCAGGGAGTTAAGTACACCTGTAGCTTGTACAACTGTGGACCAGGGAGTTAAGTACACCTGTAGCTTGTACAACTGTGGACAGTGTGGACCAGGGAGTTAAGTACACCTGTAGCTTGTACAACTGTGGGCCAGGGAGTTAAGTACACCTGTAGCTTGTACAGCTGTGGACCAGGGAGTTAAGTACACCTGTAGCTTGTACAACTGTGGGCCAGGGAGTTAAGTACACCTGTAGCTTGTACAACTGTGGACCAGGGAGTTAAGTACACCTGTAGCTTGTACAACTGTGGACCAGGGAGTTAAGTACACCTGTAGCTTGTACAACTGTGGACCAGGGAGTTAAGTACACCTGTAGCTTGTACAACTGTGGACCAGGGAGTTAAGTACACCTGTAGCTTGTACAACTGTGGACCAGGGATTTAAGTACACCTGTAGCTTGTACAACTGTGGACCAGGGAGTTAAGTACACCTGTAGCTTGTACAGCTGTGGACCAGGGAGTTAAGTACACCTGTAGCTTGTACAACTGTGGACCAGGGAGTTAAATACACCTGTAGCTTGTACAGCTGTGGGCAGTGTGGACCAGGGAGTTAAGGTCCTTTCTGTGGTGTTGTGTAGATGCCTCTGTCACCCCAGAAGCTGGAACACAACCATGTCCTGGAGCACTCGCTGCACCAACTCCTGAGAGAGGTCCACTACCGCAACGTCAACCTCGACCCACCACACCCCATGTATGCCACGCTGGGCATGACGAAGCGACGACGGATGGCCGGACCCCAGGGCGTCACACGGGGAGAACTCATACAGATGGCTGCACGATATGGTCGATCAAGGTGGGATGATGAGCGTGTAAAAGCTTGGATGGAATCGCATTATGATTCAATATGGATATTATTTTATTGAGATTTTTAAATCCTACAAAAGTAGATCACAATGTAGTATTAATGATATATCTGTCTCTAAAATATTTATTGTCACACTAGCAAGCCGTGATTCAGAGCATGTCAGATTGAAAGCCCGGGTTTGATTCCCCACATGGGCACAATGTGCTAGGCCCATTTGTTGTGGACCCAGGGGCGGTCGGGTAGCCTAGTGGTTAAATTGTTCACTCGTCACAAAGACCCGGGTTCGATCCCCGACATGGATACAATATGTGAAGCCCATTTCTGGTGTCCCCCGCTGTGATATTGCTGGAATATTGCTAAAAGCGGCGTAAAACCATACTCACTCACTGTTGTGGACATCACTGTGATATTGCTGGAATATTGCTGGAATATTGCTGTTCAAGTCTAGTTTAAGATGATTTTAAAATGTCTTAGGACATAAATACTTTTGAATTTTGTGTTTTGTTCCTGTGTGGAAAAGAGGCCTTGTTAGAATTGTCTGATAAAACAATGCCATGTACGTCATCTAAGTCCAGATGTTTGTATAACTTGTTAGGATTAAGACTGGTTAGGGAATTGTTATGCAGTTGACTGGGTACTGTGTTGTGGTACAGGAGATATGTTAGGATTAAGACTGGTTAGGGAATTGTTATGCAGTTGACTGGGTACTGTGTTGTGGTACAGGAGATATGTTAGGATTAAGACTGGTTAGGGAATTGTTATGCAGTTGACTGGGTACTGTGTTGTGGTACAGGAGATATGTTAGGATTAAGACTGCTTAGGGAATTGTTATGCAGTTGACTGGGTACTGTGTTGTGATACAGGAGATATGTTAGGATTAAGACTGGTTAGGGAATTGTTATGCAGTTGACTGGGTACTGTGTTGTGTAACAGGAGATATGTTAGGATTTAGACTGCTTAGGGAAATTGTTATGCAGTTGACTGGACACTGTGTTGTGGTACAGGAGATATGTTAGGATTAAGGGTAAACAGTGTGGTGTCATTGTCACAACTGGAGTAAGGACTCCACCATTAAACAGAATTCTTGATCTTGGTAGACTAGACCCTGTGAATATCCGGGTAAGAATTGATCTTCAGCTGCCCATACTTGTTGTAAGTGGCGACTTACTTGATCGGGTGGTCAGACACGCTAACTTGGTTGATGCATGTCATCGTATCCCAATTGTGTAAATCAATGCTTATGATGTCAGTCACTGGATTGTCTGGTCCAGGCTCGATAATTTTCAGACCGCCGTCATATAGCTGGAATATTGCTGCGTGCGACTTTAAACAAACAAAACAAAAGCTAGGTCTGAGAAACAGTGGAGGACAAAACCCATCCAAAACAGGGTGTTGACATCTTGATGTGCTTCTGTTGCAGTGACACCCTGTTGGAGCAGATCATCAAGCAGACCAAACATGCTGTACTGCGAGTCAGGTGAGAAAGAAATTAGGATCTAGAATGCCAATCAAGCCGTTTAAGTCAGGTGAGGATGAATGTTACACTTTTCAGTGCTTTACATTTTGTAGAAGCATTTTGTTTGCTTGTATTAACAACGGGGATGTTTAGGATCAATATTTTTTTATGATACTGGGATCTTATAAAGGAATTTTGAATTTTGATTTTGTGGTTTGTTTTTTCAGAACAATGCATTTGATAGATGAACTTGCTGTGTCTATTCAAGACCCCCAGATCACAGCTCACTGGAACTGCCTGAACAACAGTCTGCAGTCCAGCGTCCGCATCAACATCACGTCGTATGGCTATGAGAGTGTCAGGTAGGTCGAACAGTGTCGGGATAGGACAAACAGTGTGTGGGGTAGGTCGGACTGTAGGGGGATAGGACGAACAGTGTCAAGCGTAGGTCAGACAGTGTTTGGGGTAGGTCGGACTGTAGGGGGATAGGACGAACAGTGTCAAGCGTGGGTCAGACAGTGTTTGGGGTAGGTCGGACTGTAGGGGGATAGGACGAACAGTGTCAAGCGTGGTCAGACAGTGTTTGGGGTAGGTCGGACTGTAGGGGGATAGGACGAACAGTGTCAAGCGTAGGTCAGACAGTGTTTGGGGTAGGTCGGACTGTAGGGGGATAGGACGAACAGTGTCAAGCGTAGGTCAGACAGTGTTTGGGGTAGGTCGGACTGTAGGGGGATAGGACAAACAGTGTCAAGCGTGGGTCAGACAGTGTTTGGGGTAGGTCGGACTGTAGGGGATAGGACGAACAGTGTCAAGCGTGGGTCAGACAGTGTTTGGGGTAGGTCGGACTGTAGGGGGATAGGACGAACAGTGTCAAGCGTGGTCAGACAGTGTTTGGGGTAGGTCGGACTGTAGGGGGATAGGACGAACAGTGTCAAGCGTAGGTCAGACAGTGTTTGGGGTAGGTAGGACTGTATGGGGATAGGACGAACAGTGTCAAGCGTGGGTCAGACAGTGTTTGGGGTAGGTCAGACTGTAGGGGGATAGGACGAACAGTTTCAGGCGTGGGTCAGACAGTGTTTGGGGTAGGTCGGAGTAGGGGGATAGGACGAACAGTGTCAAGCGTAGGTCAGACAGTGTTTGGGGTAGGTCGGACTGTAGGGGGATAGGAAGAACAGTGTCAAGCGTGGGTCAGACAGTGTTTGGGGTAGGTCGGACTGTAGGGGGATAGGACGAACAGTGTCAAGCGTAGGTCAGACAGTGTTTGGGGTAGGTAGGACTGTAGGGGGATAGGACGAACAGTGTCAAGCGTAGGTCAGACAGTGTTGGGGGTAGGTCGGACTGTAGGGGGATAGGACGAACAGTGTCAAGCATGGGTCAGACAGTGTTTGGGGTAGGTCGGACTGTAGGGGGATAGGACGAACAGTTTCAGGCGTGGGTCAGACAGTGTTTGGGGTAGGTCGGAGTAGGGGGATAGGACAAACAGTGTCAAGCGTGGGTCAGACAGTGTTGGGGGTAGGTCGGACTGTAGGGGGATAGGACAAACAGTTTCAGGCGTGGGTCAGACAGTGTTTGGGGTAGGTCGGAGTAGGGGGATAGGACAAACAGTGTCAAGCGTGGGTCAGACAGTGTTGGGGGTAGGTCGGACTGTAGGGGGATAGGACGAACAGTGTCAAGCGTAGGTCAGACAGTGTTTGGGGTAGGTAGGACTGTAGGGGGATAGGACGAACAGTGTCAAGCGTAGGTCAGACAGTGTTTGGGGTAGGTCGGACTGTAGGGGGATAGGACGAACAGTTTCAGGCGTGGGTCAGACAGTGTTTGGGGTAGGTCGGAGTAGGGGGATAGGACAAACAGTGTCAAGCGTGGGTCAGACAGTGTTGGGGGTAGGTCGGACTGTAGGGGGATAGGACAAACAGTTTCAGGCGTGGGTCAGACAGTGTTTGGGGTAGGTCGGAGTAGGGGGATAGGACAAACAGTGTCAAGCGTGGGTCAGACAGTGTTGGGGGTAGGTCGGACTGTAGGGGGATAGGACGAACAGTGTCAAGCGTAGGTCAGACAGTGTTTGGGGTAGGTCGGACTGTAGGGGGATAGGACGAACAGTGTCAAGCGTGGGTCAGACAGTGTTTGGGGTAGGTTGGAGTAGGGGGATATGACAAACAGTGTCAAGCGTGGGTCAGACAGTGTTTGGGGTAGGTCGGAGTAGGGGGATAGGACAAACAGTGTCAAGCGTGGGTCAGACAGTGTTTGGGGTAGGTCGGACTGTAGGGGGATAGGACAAACAGTGTCAAGCGTAGGTCAGACAGTGTTTGGGGTAGGTAGGACTGTAGGGGGATAGGACGAACAGTGTCAAGCGTGGGTCAGACAGTGCTGGGGTAGGTCGGAGAGTGTCAAGTGTAGGTCAGACAGTGTTTGGGGTAGGTTGGAGAGTGTCAAGAATAGGTCAGACAGTGTTTGGGGTAGGTCGGAGAGTGTCTGGGGGAAGTTCAAATCCTTGTTTGAGTTTGCTGATGATGTGATGATGTTTGTAGGACACACCTTAGCCTGGTGATCGGAGTGGACTCCATCCAGGTGATACTGAAAGATGGGCGGACATGTACGCTGTCATTCGAAGACAAGGAGCTGAAGGACCTCATCCACTGGCAGGTAAACAAACCACTTGACGTTGTGTTCTGTGTCATAACTGTGTTCAAGGAATCCAATTTTAGAGCTAGTTGGATTATCTTAAAGGTCTTCCTTACACAAGGCTAATTGTTTTCACAGGTAATCACAAAATAATCTGTAAAATGGTGTTACAATTATCTTCCTGTCTTGCAAGTGCAGCTTATGTACTGGTCCCATGATTTGCAAGTGCAGCTGATGTACTGGTCCCATGATTTGCAAGTGCAGCTTATGTACTGGTCCCATGATTTGCAAGTGCAGCTTATGTACTAGTCCCATGATTTGCAAGTGCAGCTTATGTACTGGTCCCATGATTTGCAAGTGCAGCTTATGTACTGGTCCCATGATTTGCAAGTGCAGCTTATGTACTGGTCCCATGATTTGCAAGTGCAGCCTCTCTACTGGTCAGGGCAGCATATGTACTGGTCCCATGATTTGCAAGTGCAGCTTGTGTACTGGTCCCATGATTTGCAAGTGCAGCATATGTACTGGTCCCATGATTTGCAAGTGCAGCCTCTCTACTGGTCCGGGCAGCATAGGGGACCCAGTTGTCAAAGATGACGATGGTGTGAGAGCTCTTGATCTCCCCAGGTTCAGATGATAGTATTGGTCTCAAATTAAGGAGGGTCTGGGATCTTTAAGGTTTTCTCGAATTTGAATCTACGGACCCCCTTAAACCTTAAATGTTAAAACTACAGTACTGAGGAGGAACCCTTGAATTGTCTCCTTTATTTGGGGTTTTAGCCCCAGATTGGCTCTGAGTATGAACCCTGCTGCTGTGATAAATGTAGAACAACTGCAACATTTCGGGCACATTAAGCTGACAATCTCTTTAAAATAAGATCTTAGTTCTCACTACCGCTAAACAAAGATCTGAGGACACCCCATCACGTGTCACTTCAGACCAATCTTTCACGAACTTTGACCGACCAGTGGAATGACTGACAAGTAGTCGACATAAGCAAATCACAAGGTAGCTTTCTCGTGCCTTATGGCACTAGTTTTAAACTGATGACTACACTTCGAAACATATTTTGACAAATTCTCAATTAAAATTTGAAAAATGAACAAAAGAACATTCTGGAAAGGCTAACAGATGGCCTAGATTGTATGGATTCAGTCATAATGCCTGTAACTGTTGCATGATAACTGTTCAAGGTTGCAAGATTAGAAAACACTTTCATGATCTGGTAATCTACCCTCTGATTGGTCGGTGGGTACAATGTGTGAAGCCCATTTCTGGTGTCCCCCGCCGTGATATTGCTGGAATATTGCTAAAAGCGGCGTAAAACCATACTCACTCACTCACTCACTCTGATTGGTCGGACAAAAGTTGGTTCATAATGGGATGTCCTCAGATCTTTGTTTAGCAGTAGCGAGAACTGAGATCTGATTTTAGTGAGATTGATTAAGCTGAGACGCTGTGCTATGAATTAAATACTGTTCACCTTTTAACTGATGCTTCTGCCGGCAGGTGTCGCAGTTCCATGTCCTGGTGGTGCAGCAACTGGTCAAGTTCCAGGGCTGGCTGCTCCTGTCTCTCAGTGGCGGCATCGGCTCCGGAGACATGGAGACATTCGGCACCGCAGCCTCCATCATGTTTGCCTCTCCCAAGGGAGACAGGTGGGTAACTTTCACAACCATGTTACAATCGCTTGCGAGTATTTTTGTTATTCTGCTTGGTACTTAAAACAGATTACTACTTTTGTAATCTACTGTGTGAATAGCGGAGTGACCCTGGATGAGAGTCGGGACCAGAGTTTGTCCCATGTCATCCATGTTTGTGGGAGCAACTGACCGAGTTGGGGATCAGATGGTCACAAAACATGACATTAAATAGTTCTTGTTGAAACTTGCTCTATAGATGAATCTAGCTGTGAACTGGTGCCTTTTGATGATTTCGATTTTTTTTAAAAAATATTTCTTCATCCCAACAAGTTGGACTTATACTGAAAATGTGGGTAGTGCTCGTTTCTGGAGCAGAACTCCGAAACCGTTGAATGTTTCTAGAAGAAAGTTGCTATACAGATCAGTCTAGTGGTGCCTTTTGATGAATTGGGATTTTGAAAAATACTAAACACCATCATTGTTTTCTTCATTGAACTGAAGGTATCCCATGGCAATGCAACAAAAGTATTCAAACGTCATTTCCAACTTGCACCACACTGTCGTCTTCTGATGACTCTTGTTTTTCAGGATACTGATTTGAAATAGAGCTGGTTCGATTTGCTTTTTTATGACTTAGGTTGGTTTTGGTGTCATAAAATACATATAAATTCCACATTTATGGTGCATCAGTAACTGTTTCATAAATCTTACACTGATTTCAAATCATAATCAGGTTTATGACCCTTCATATTTATTTATGGCAATCTAAGTTGATATAGCTCTCATCAATTCCTTTCCACTGTGAAGCTCCGGGTTAGAATTGGTCTTCAGCAACCTATACTTGTCATAAAGCCAACTAATGGGATCGGGTGGTCATACAGGTTGACTTGGTTGTTGCATGTCATCGTACCCCAATTGCGTAGATCAATGCTGGATTGTCTGTTCCAGGCTTGATTATTTACAGGCCGCCATCACATAGCTGGGATATTGCTGAGTGTGGCATTAAACAACAAGACCAAAACAAAACACTATGAACTCCTTATCCTTCCTCTTGCAGAGTCCTTGCCTTGAAGAGTGGCCCATCAAGTGGACTGACCCTGTCCATGAAGAACCTTGACCCCTGCGAGTACAACAAGTCCTCTCCAGTCACTGACCCCAAGTGGTTCAACCTCGGCGGGCAGTTTAAAGCTATCAATCTGGACAGACTAGAAGGGAGGAACTTTGCAAGCAAGATGGACATGTTAATGGCCAAACTGACCTCGGGATGAACTCTTGTATTGTCAAACTGGTAAAAGCTTATGAACTGGGTACTGCTAAACAGTACACTTTTGAGAGATGGAAATAATGGACTTAATACCATTTAAATAGTGTCCTACAATCTTCATCCAATGTGAAAGTGTAGAGGATTCAGACCTGACAGGATGATGATGGAGATTCAGAAGAGGAAGAAACAAGAAGTCGGAAGTTGCTGAAAGATTTGTAACCTTGGAGAGATTTCATTGTCAAGGTCAAGGTCACATGCAATGTTTCTGCTGTGATGTGCATGGGTCAAGGTCAAAGCCCATCTATGTGGTTAGATACATCAAATGTGTGACCAAACTCTCCTGGCATTGTCGCACCAAGGTGAAGGTCGTTATGTGACCATTTTTCAAATGGCTGGATATGCTGTCATGACTCTTGACATGGTCATGGTTAATGTGAACCACCAGTGTTAGGAACATCCCAAGGACGTGACTGTGATGTGAAACATCTCACTTTGTATGGTTTTCTGACAGTTTCGTCAAAGATTGACGTGACAATGGACATTTGTTTCATGACTGTCACCAGAAGAATCATTCATGTGTTGATCAATGTCATTTCGTGCATTGTGACATTTCATAAACTTTGTATATTTTGTACCCATTGAACACGTTGAATCATTAAGTGAGTATGCACAAAGTACTCGTGTAATGGTGTATCATTTCATTGGCATGGTCTCTGAAAGTCAGTGAAACTGAATAAACGAAAATCAAAACAATGTTTTTCTTGTGCTGTATTTACTCAATGCAACAGGTTGGTGGGGTAGCCTAGTGGTTAAAGTGTTCACTCGTCATGCTGGGTTCGTTTCCCCACGTTGGCACAATATGGGAAGTCCATTTCTGGTGTCCCCCGCCGTGATATTGCTGGAATATTGCTAAAAGCGGCGTAAAACAATACTCACTCACTCACTTCTCAATGCAGCACACAAGTCAGATTGTTGTTGGTTGTTGGTTTGTTGTTTAACGCCGCATTCAGCAATATTCCAGCTATATGACGGCGGCTCAATAGACGGAGGTGTAAAACCTAACGAAGAAGGCATAAAACCACATATATCCCTTGTGATTCTGCTACAACGAATTTATTTATCGACATGTTTCAATCTGCCATTGTAACAGAATTGAACAAATTGAAAATTGATAGATAGCTGTTCGATTTAGCTGAGGTTAACTTGTGCTGTATCATGTGACTGTAATCGAAGCGTTTTGCTTCGTAGTGGATGCAAGAAATTTATTCTTCTGCTCAGAAATCCATGTGTGTTTTTGTGGTGGGGTATGAAGGATTTATTCTCCTGCTCAGAAACTTATTTGCCTCTCCAGCGGGATACATAGCATTTTATCAAGATCACATGAACCAATCAGATCTCACATGGAGGGAAGATAAAACTGCCTATGGACTGATATTGAAAAGGTTTTAGTTTTATCGATGCCTGAAATAGGTTTGTTCACTACCGCACAATCTCAAAACCCTTGTCAGTTTTCTAAGGTGCTTATTACGACGAATATGGTACCATAAGTTGACATTTTAGTGTTTGTGATAAACAAAGTTTGAAAGAACATGAAGCAAGCGCTTCACAAAGGATCTCGATCTGCACTGATCCCATACTTTGAGGTAAACTATTTATAGCTCAAGCAACAGGACAGCTTTTTGAATATGCTGAAACCTGTATGAGTGAGTGAGTGAGTTTGATTTTACACCACTTTTAGCGATATTCCAGTAATATCACGGGGAGGGATACCAGAAATGGGCTTCACACATTGTACCCATGTTGGCAATCGAACCTGGGTCTTCGGCGTAACAAGCAAACGCTTCAACCACTAGGCTACTCGACCGCCCGAAACCTGTATGATCCGTAGCAGTGTGATGTTACAGACAGGAGTGTGTCTTCCGGGTCTTAAAACTCTGTTACAACACGTTCAACATGAGGGTGGGCATTAACCTGCTGGAACATGACATGGCGTGAGTGGACCATTAGAGGGAGGAGGGTGGGGCACATGGGTCAGGGTTTGTTTTTTTTGTAAAAGAGAGCTGGGATTCTACTTTTATGTTACGTTTCAACTTTCAACCCATGGAAAGAATAGTAACATTTTCTCACTGTTCTCTGAAACACAAATGTACAGATGTGGGTGATTTTAAAACAACAGCAGTATGATAAAGCATTTTAATATACTCACCACCAAAAGAAAGGCGAACCATAGAAACATTACACTGTGTACCACTTATTGACCAAATTAATAATCAGTCAAGCGTTACCACAGTGTGTGTTTTTTCTTCCCGAGGCAAGGGAGTTAACTGACTTTAAAAGTCCAGTTTCCACCCTTGCCGAACTAGGCTGGAATTCCTGGGCTAGATCGTAGCGCCACCAGTGGCTGTTACGAGTTATGACCCTTCTAAGCCTCTCATATGGACCAATCAGATTCCACCTCTCGTATCACTTGCATTTCCTTCAAACACAATGGAGGTGCCCAGTCAAGACGATCTGATCGATAATCAAGATCTATATTGTGATAAAACGGGTTTTACATCGCGAAGTGCATTTAAATCATGTGAGCACCCTGATTAAGAACATGAAAATATTTGGAAAATATCTGTTGACAATGAGTTGGTGGTGCAAATGATTAGCAAATCCTGCAATCGACCGAAATCTGCATGACACTTTACGAACCGCATTTCGATTTCATTGCGTGATTGTGATTGGACTATGCATTAGTCCAGCCAAAACGAAACTCCATAATACCAGCCTTTTTCGGCAAGGGTGGAAACTGGACTTTTATAGTCAGTTAACTCCTTTTTTTCGGGAAGATGGTTTATTCTTATCACCATACGCTGCATGTGATTTCCAAACTTCACGCACTAATCCTTAACGAGACAAGTGGTGCGTCTTGAGTCAAGGATCTGTGATGTGTGATGCGTTCATGAGCGTCAGTTCACACAACATACCAGTATGTTCGTTTGTGCATCAAATGAACCTAATATCTCTTGAATATTAGTAATTCTCCATTTATTAACCAAAACATGAGGTAACACCAACCTACTACTACCGACACTGGTAGAACAGAGACTGGTAAAGAGTGATGTTCACAGGAGAGACCGCCTCCCTGGTCTAGTGGTAGAGCGTCCGCCCGGAGAGCGGAAGGTCCGGGGTTCGATCCCCGACCGCGTCATACCATAAAAGTTAAAAGATGGTACTTGTTACCCTGTCTGACGCTCGGCATTAAGGGGCTAAAACAAGGACTGGTCGGCTCGGAGTCAGTATACTGTGTCTGAGTGGGGTATTCATGTTAAACTGCGGCATGGTATATCTAAGCGAGCTAGCACTATAAATCGGCATCAGTCCGGACTAGTACAAGCAATCACTCACACACACATTTACATGCACGTCGCTATATAAGTGCAATATTCTTGGACGCGACGTTAAACCCCCACCCCCACCCCACCCACAGAGGAGAAAGCAGATTCCAGGTTTTCATTCAAATTGTTGCGTTCTAGTTGTCAAACCATGGCGTCTGGAGCGAAGTCAAGGCGGCATCACTAGCCAAGTCTGGTGATTTGGAAGGAAACATCAACGGGCAGGTCGCCCTTATAACTCTGAAGCTCTGGTTTTTAGATCTCTGTCATAAAATGAGTAGGTGTTATACTGTTTTCAGATGTCTTTATTCGACATCACAAATTCTGGAACACAGAACAGGAAACATAACATAATGCAACACATGATTGTATAATGTAAATGTACATAAGCCTCTAATAATATCAGTTAGCACATCCAAGGTAGAATAGGTCTCCAGCAACAACCCTTGCTTGCCGTAAGAGGCGACTCGCGGGATCGGGTGGTCAGGCTCGCTGACTTGGTTGATCCAGACTCGATTATTTACAGACCGCTGTCATATAGCTGGAATACTGCTGAGTGCGGCGTTAAACAACAAACAAACAAATATACAAGCGTTACGTCACACACGGTTTATGACTCCGATACGAGACCTCAGCACGTGAAGAGGGGTAACACATCTGCTTTTAATGCGATTTTTTAATGTGTGACCTGCATTTCGAATCTCATGTTCCATAAATGTCGGACCCGTGAAGAGATCCGGGGTAGAATAGGTCTTCAGCAACCCATGCTTGCTGTAAAAGGCGACTATGCTTGTCGTAAGAGGCAACTAACTATCGGGCGGTCAGGCTCGCTGACTTGGTTGATGCATTTCATCGATCCCAATTGCGTGGATCGATGCTCATGATATTAATCACTGGATTGTCTGGTCCAGACTCGATTATTTACAGACCGCTGCCATATAGCTAGAAAATTGCTGAGTGCGGCGTGAAACAACCAACCAACCACAATTGTCGTATGTGTTTAAAGTGAGAGAGTGTGTTGAGATGCTGCTGTGTGACCAGTATTTTAATCATTTCACAGCCTATCAGTTCGTGCTAATACTTAAATTTCTGTTGATTTCATTATATTAATCCTTTTTATGATTTTGTACAGAAAGCGAGTGGATGTGAGTGTGTGTGAGTGTGTATGTCAATGTCCAATTTAAAAAAAATAGCTCCATAATATCTATACCTCTAATGTCAAACTAACCATCAACGTGCATAACACAACCACCTCCCCACCCACCCTGACACCCGCACCCCAATCCTTTCGAAAACCAAATGTAGAAGGCTGTAGCAGTACAATTAACTTAAATGTGATATTTTGGACCCCTCCCTTTTAAAAAAGATGGATCCTCCCTTGCATTACAATAACTTCCAACACTCATTTAATAACTTCGCTTGTGTTTTCTAACATTGTCTTTGTATCTTTTTTTATTTGGACAGGGCACTGTCCTGGGTGTCTGGTCTTATTTGTAACAGGGACTCAGAAATATATCAATTACCATAAAAAAAGAGAATCATAATCAGAGCGAATACGGGACTCCAACCCACGCTCATCGGATGCTGGCATGACCAAGGGTCGCAACTCTGCACAGCCAATCTGTATAGACATGTGAACTGGTTAAACGGTACTCTTCAGTCACGATGCAGGACTTTGAAAATAGATCAGTCTATAAAGCCATACCGATCGTAGCACCTTAGCTGATGAATACTTTTCAGTTATACAAACATTTATTTGAACATGGGTATGTTTTAATTTGTCCATGAGTACAACTGGTGCATGCATGTGTTACTTTTCCGCTTTGCACATGAGCAGGCGTTGCGTGGAATTGGCGCCATACAATATACATAGTTTCACTATTGGTACGCTCATCAAAAGGGGCGATTTATGTGTGAGTTTCAATAGAAAACTGAGTAACTATTTATTCCAACTAAATACAAAATGTGTTTTCGTGAAATGTAATAATTTATATGATATATTTAGTTAAATAGCTTCCCGAAACAATTTGCATATTGAAACTTTTGTTCAAAATTAAAATTAAAAAATTGACCACAGAAGTGCAGCAACGAGATTTTGTCCGTTTTGTCCCTCAAATGATTGTACAATGTTTTAATTATTTAATGCGTGTTGGAAGCTATTTTAATTATTTAAAAAAAAAGCTGTTTGATATGCATATTTTGAATGCGTTTGAATCTCTCCAAACCAAATCTTTTACAATTTATTGTATCAGCCGAATTTAGTCCATTGTATTGTGTACGTTTTTAATTTTTCGTTAAAAAAATTTGGAGATTTGCATCTGTATATATTTTTACATGCTATAGAGGCTACTCAACATAAAAACCAATGTT